TCCTCCGGTCTCCCCTCTCCCCCCCGCCCCCCACCCGCGCCCCCCCCCCCCCCCCCCCCTCCCCCCCCCCCCCGCCGCCCCCCCCCCCCCCCCCCCCCCCCCCCCCACAGTACATAATATCTCTCCATTATTTTACATGAACCACCCCTGGTGTATTATTAAGAGTTATTATACCAAAGTATATCTATTTATATATATTTATAATTAATGAATTCATAACAGTACTCTTAATTAAAAATTGAATTCTAAGAAAATAACTATATATATTAAAGTAATTATACCTAACATATAAAGTACATCAGTCATTAATGAGTTGCAGCTGGGGCAACGAGCTCTCTTCTGTACATGGATGTACACAGCAGTACAGTTCAGTGCAGGCGCGGCAGGGGTTTGGATCTCTGAATCTGTTTGGTTGGCTTGTTTATTTTCTTTCCTAAATAGGCACTCTTCCCATTCAGTAACCCTACTAGGTACATATATGTCTCCACTATTCTCCATCTTTTTGCCTACGCCATCGCATCAGAATGCGTGGCCAATAAGCTTTCAAGGTTCTTGCAATCAAGATCAAGTTGAAACCTTCTCCACGATGTACTATAGGTTATCATTAGAGTCCCCAAACATCTAAAGGCTTGCTTACTTTGGTGCTGCTCTACATATAGATCTTGCAAGGTAATATTGGGTAGCACCCAGGTAGATAGCCAGGTATCCAGCCTGTACCCTCTCTAATCTTATCAGCTTGGCCTTAACAGTTACCTACCTAGGTAGGTACTGTAAGTAGGTGTGTAGATGCCCCATGTGGAGATGGACTACCTAGTATTGTAGTACCTGGACTAGTCACTGGACTTGGGCGGCCGGCCAGACAACGGGATCATCAACAAAACGAACCCTGATCTCGAGCCTTTATTTCTACTTTCGCTGGGACATCAAAACAACCCAAAGGCACCCTGTACTTCGGCTTCACATTAGCTTCACTTCTGCTCTTCTACCTATTACCTACCGTATCCTTCGACGCGTCGCAATCGACTTTGGCCCTTCACAGCACCTTGATGTTTCTTCCAAGCATATAGACATCTAGTGCACGCGAATTTGGGCTTGGGCTTCGTCTTGGAGATCGGAAAAATACTCGCGCTACTTGCATGTTCGGCGGCCCCTTTTTCTTGAACAACCGCGCTGCTGCTACATACCATACGGTACCTTAGCTAGGTAGCCTGTAACCGAGCAGTTGGGTGTAGGTACGTACCTACGGGCCTAGCGCTGGGCCTGAGCCTCCAGCGCATCTCAAATCCTAATTTGGCGCCTTTTTAAATTAGCTTTCCCATGTAGCGAAAAACAAGGTGCAGCTCAAATGAACCTGAGCTTGGGTTGACTTTCAGTAGGCACTAGGTACACATCTTCATTGCAACCTCAGAATTGCATTGATCAACTTCTTCCGTCAATGAATCCTTAAACCTTCAATGCTAACAGCGCATTGCTCCGCGCTGAACATCGCCATCACGAACCTGGTGGTATTGTTCTCCATCTACTCCTTAAGCATCGCTCCGCTTGTCTACCTCGTCCTTCCCCGGACCGGCTGTAGTCCCGTTTATCCTCATTTTTCCTCTGTCTTCATCCGACAGCTGCGCGTCTTGCACAGCAGCCATTGGAGCATAGATCCCTTACGTTGAAAGACTGAATTTCTACGAATAACAATGGACGCCCGAGTAAGTGTGAACTTTCTTTACTTATAACTAGCAGTGTTCCCAGTTGAGCCCATGTCCAGCGCGTATCAGCACAGCCATCTGGACGCGATCTACATTCCGCTCTATCAGTCCCTTGAACCCCAGCACAGGTCTCAAACCTTTATTTATCCACGCTGGCACGCGAATAGACACACAGAGACTCTAATCGATCTGTTGTATATTGTGCGCCAACGGGCAATTGCTAACTGCGCGTTGCTCTATGACAGCCCTATAGACCTAGTCGACATCTTTCCAGCCTGGGGAACGAAGTTCATGCCCGTTCTGCCAGCAAAACGGTCCACCAACGTCACAAATCCACCGGAAATCTTCTGACTGCACCCGTGACTGGAAATTTCAATATGGCGGCGAAGCGCACTGCGCTAGGAAATCGCAATGTAGCTTCTAGAGACTCGAGCGACCCCGTGTACGCCGGCAAGTCAGGACCAACCCACAACCACAGCACCACGTCGACGATGGTTACCTCCAAAGCCCAAGAGAATCGGGTACAGACTAATTTCAAACCCAAAGACGCGCTCCACGGAGCCTTCTCTCAGCCGGCACAGCGCCCGACCAAAACTCTTGCTCCTTCCGCCTCAATGGGCCACATCAGACCTGCCGCCAGCGAGACCTATATCCCTCGTAGACCTCTCAGCAAGCTATCCAGCTTTGTGTACAGGGACCCACTGCAAGAAGAAGACCGACCTGTGCCTACTAAGCCCGCGAACACCGTGCCTGAAGCCGTACCTGAAGATCCCCCCGCCCAGACTCTGAAGGTGAGGCCTTCCAACGCACATCTTCAAAACCGACAGCAATCGCCTGGCCGTAAGACTTACCCAGAGAAGCCACCAACGTTGCAGCCAAAACAACAAGGACCCCAAGACAAGCAACCTTCTCACCAACCAAACTCCACCGAGGCTCATGTTGATGAGCGTACCTCTTCTGCGACTCTCGCGCCCCTAATTCCTCTTACTGACGTATCACCTCTCTATTCTCCTCACGCTGATGACGACGCGACTGAGCCTCTCTACGTAGACGCCGTTGAGGACTACGCTGAGGAGAAGTGTGAGTTGCAGACGCATAAACTGACTGAAATTACAGACGCACCTCAACCACAGCGGGTAGTCATCCGTACTCTTCCTGAACCACATGTTCCCGAGCCCGTCCACCCATCTCAAAGGTCAGGTACCCAGCCGGAGCCGGACCTACTAGACTACAACGACCATTACCCTCCATCTGTTGTTAACGACTCGGTTTATCCACCATATCTGTCTGATTGTGACGACGAGGAAGAACACTGCTACGACGACAAAGGCTATACCACTGCTCATTCCTACCGTTCCCACGGCGATAATACGACTGGTGGTGTAACGACGGTCATGTTTCCTCCCAAAATCACAAAAAAGGGGCAAGCGGAGATCGAGGCTGCTAAACAAATCGTGGAAAGCAGACGAACTACTGACGAGATTCAAGAGGATGCCTGGGATATCAGCATGGTTGCTGAATATGGTGACGAGATTTTTCAGTACATGAAAAAACAAGAGGTAAGACCGAGAGCACGATAGAGTATATTGACTACTTACTAATAAATCCTAACCAGATGACACTCCTCCCCAACCCTCATTATATGGATGATCAGGGGGAAATTCAATGGTCCATGCGCTCTGTCTTGATGGATTGGGTCGTTCAGGTCCACGCTCGCTTTGGACTTCTCCCCGAGACGCTATTTCTGACGGTCAATTACATTGACCGGTTTCTCTCCAATAAAATCGTGTCACTAGCGAAGCTGCAGCTCGTAGGTGCTACAGCTATCTTTATTGCAGCCAAGTATGAGGAGATCAACTGCCCCTCGGTGCAGGAAATTGTCTATATGGTGGATGGCGGATATACCGTGGAGGAGATCCTGAAAGCCGAGCGCTTCATGCTGAGCATGCTCGACTTTGAGCTCGGTTGGCCGGGCCCAATGAGTTTCTTGCGACGCATCAGCAAAGCAGACGACTACGACCTAGAGACTCGTACTCTTGCCAAATACTTCCTCGAAGTTGTGATCATGGACGAACGATTTGTAGCAAGCCCACCTAGCTATATTGCTGCCGGTGCTCATTGCCTATCACGCCTTGTATTGCACAAAGGGGACTGGGTAAGGCCCGACATTTCCCACTGTTATTTCTCTGTGCTGACTTGCAACTATAGACCCCTGCCCACGTTCATTACTCTGGCTACACATATCAGCAATTGAAGCCTTTGGTAACCATGCTCCTGGACTGCTGTAGACACGCTCGCAAACACCACAGCGCCATCTTTGAGAAGTATTCCGATAAGCGATATAAACAAGCCTCTACGTACGTCGAAGAGGAGATCATGAGAGGCTATACCCTTCCATTCGAACAGCGCGTATCGATGCCATTTACCGTTGAATTCTTTAGCAATGAAACCACTCGCGCTTCGTATGCCGGTTCCCATGCTGATACTCGCACCGGATCACATGCTCTAAAAATACCCATCTCAACACACGGTTGAATGGCCACCTACATTCATTTTTGAAGGTTAATAAAATGGGCCTACTTACCATTCTCTCTAACGGGAGCCCCTTCGAGCAATTACAGCACGAGACCATACGGTGTTTTGCATGACAAACAAAGGTCCCGACAACACTAGCGAATATGGCTCGTGCATCTTCATTCCGTTAGTATCCACAATATCCCTAATTTGGCATTCATATGCTAGTTGATGAGGTGTTACGATGATCACGAATCACACGACCCTAATTTTTCTTTCTGTGCGGCACCTTCCATTCGAGGTTCGGCATTCATTCTCTAGGCGTTTCGGAAAATCTTGAGGTGAGGCAACAGTGACTTTGCAGGTAATTCAGGCAAGGAGCAAGGCGTTTGGCAATGGAAGGCTAGTGCGGAACTGTACGTAGCTATCAGTATTTCCACATCTGGCATGTTAAAGGGATATAGATTCTTGAGGTTTGTCAAGCTACTAATCCTCCATGCAAGAGACATGACTCGTGCTTTCGATTGTGTATATACTTTTGACGAGAAGGAAGCCGACTGTGTGGTTCTTAATGTATTTGCTCTAGCATTTAGAGCCAAGAAAAATGCAGCCTGTACATAATGCTCTGGACGAAAGCTCTTCTATTCCTATAAAATTGGTACATTTCTCCTTGTTTGCCGCACATAATATCTCGACGTAGGAATATGGCAGTATAATCGGTAATCTAGTCTATACCACATATTCCAAAACGTGTACCTATTATCAGTTCCGATATAAAAAAATAAAATAAAAAGTACTTGGACGAGATGGGGAGCAAGATATTCAATTGAGGACTATCTCCTGCTACCCTTTGTCCTACATTCATCGGCATATAGTTACCACTAGATCTCCCTGGACTCTGCCAACCAAACCAACTATGATTAGGTATACCCTTCACCTTCCCAGCATCATTTTTGGAAATAACGTGACTAACTTCATCAGAGGCTGTATACCATGTTACCATTAATACCATCCAACATAATCTGATGATCCTTGATAATCTACTCTAAAGCTGGGTCTCAACTATATCGAGGCCCCTGTGATCGTCTTCAGTCTAAAGTATCTTTCCTCACTTTCTCAAACTGGCCCAGGATGATCTCTGAACAAATGCCAGCCAGCCAGCCTCGATATTAAGACGGTCTAGTACAGGTATCCCCAGCCTCGTGCTGGCAAGTATCACTCGAGGCACGTTGCGCACTCAGATTGGCTGGAGCTTTGGGGCTCTATCGCCCGACTTAATTTCATACTTAGGAGTATCCAGTAGCAAAATTTCCGAGCCATCAGTACCCCCGAAAAATAGTCACAGCCATTTGCCTGCTCCTGTTACTTTGACAACCCTTCGATATTTGAGGCCACGCCCGTATGCACTACCCCATCGTCCATGTATCTCGGTGCAATAGTGCGCAGAATTATACCAAAAGGTTCTAATAGATACGTCATGCATTTCGTTGATTAAGTTTGACTGTGGGGCTATGTGGTGTTACTGTAGGTTTAGGTAGATAAACAAAGTTTATCTTATGGCGATGCAGTCTTCCTCGAGATCATCGCCAATTGCGATAGCACGCTCAACGCAGCCGCGATAGAGAACCGTCGGATCATATTCAATCGGGCCGTTGCAGTTAGAACTCCCTTGTTGAAGTAGGTTGGGTGAAACTCGTATGATTGAGTGGTGCGAGGGGCACGAATGGCGGCTATTACCTTCTCCTACCCCAAAGATCGCTGGGGTAGGTAGCATTTGCCGGGAACAACCGGCCTCCAGCCTCGAGAGCTTGCGAACGTGTTTATTTCTATTTCCTTATTTATTTTAATTATGATTTCTTTCTCTCTTCTTTGGCATCAGGATCAGAAGTGCATATGCGCTACGAAACGATTTCCCCTCACATCTAACATTGTTCTGCTCAAGATCTATATGAGAACCCCAACTTTCACAGTATCTCCACTATGTCATTATGATATCCTTTCATGATGACTATTCCTGTAAAGGCCAGACAGAGTCTCGCGTCGATGGGCTCCGGGACTGATAGCGCGCACTATCAGCAACCATACTGTATAACGTAAGTGAAGTGGAGTGGTCTAAGGCTTGTCCCATCCATCTCTTTCGCGACCACAGGATTACTACAGATACTTGGCGACCCGAGGATAAAACAGGAAGAAAGAGAAGAAAGGGAGAAAGGCTTGTTTTGTTGTGTTATCATTAATCCCAGGCAAGTCTTGATTTTTCAATCGAAGATACCAACCAAACACTGAATCCAGAAAGAACACAGTGAGCCAGCTCCATCTGACGATCAACCCCAGACCATTACCCCATTCATTAAGCCAAAATCCAAAACTGACCAGAGCTCATCTACTATTATTCACTACTACAGTATGTAGCACGAGCACGTTCAGATGGTTAGAGTCAGTAGCGGAGCCAGCGGGGCGGGCGGCCCCAGCAGCCCCAGCAGCCCCAGATCAAGCCGCCAGATGATCTCTCCAGAGAACTTGATGATCACCTGATAGGGCTTAGTGGGCGACCTGATCTCCGTTCCACCGGCGTTCGCTCGGGGTTCGTGGTGGGCGCGTGGTGGACATCGGCGTACCGGGACCGCGGATTAACATAGATCCGCCAGGGCCGTCAGGGCCGCCAAGAGATTATCGATAGCAGATGGGCCTAGCTGATGGGTCCAGCTGCCGAATGACGCTTCTGATTGGATGCATCGTCCTACCATCTGGACTCCAGCAGCCAAACGTAGCGCACGCCATGCCCTAGTGCATGTAGGAAATTTCGGGTGACGGGAACTCCAAGAATTTGGAAGTCTTACTAGATAGGTAAGTATTCCACTCAGAGGCGTCGAGTTTTTGTGTGAAATCCCTCATCGTCGTTGTCACTGCCACCGCGGCCCATAAGCGCCTTCTTTTCTTCTATATTTCTGATTCCTCGTCGCTATTCCTCTAGACATTCTCAGAGCGCAAATTCCGAAGTGTTCCGAGTTGACGGTTGAGGTTGGAAGAGCGCACGCCCCTCTAGACACCATCTTGGCTAGACAGGCAGGACTAGTTTCGGAGCTCCATAAGCTACAGGCTGTCTGGGTAGGTGTCGGGTATCGTGAGGGTCTCCTTCGCTGCTGCAATCACCCATTTTGTCGTTTTTAGCCGATGGTGACTAGGTCAATCCTTGATCGAGGGGTCTAGTCCTTTTCAGTCTTCTGCTCTCGTAGCACTACCACACACCTATCGCGCGACATCGCCAATTTCGACCATCCCCCTCTCCGCCTCCTCCTACTTCCAGTGTGGAATTGCGCAAAATGGCGGCCTCCCAAACGGTGAAAGAAGCGGTTAAGAGTAGCCTCCTAGGCGCAGAGGAGCCGGCCGATCTGTCCGCTTCGTATCGTGCTACGTTCTTGAACAATGCAAAGAAGGATGAACAGACTGGCGAGCCCGTAATGGGTCCTGAGGAATTCATTGAAGCCATTGCGCCTGCAGACGAAGACTACGTGGGTACCCCCCTTCCCTTCCCTCCACATATGTCGACTCCGAGATGATTCTTGCTAATAAGATGCGCGTTCGATATATTATAGTCCAAGATCCACCGTGATCAGTATGGCATCCTCTTCCGCGTCGCTGACCGGTCTGGAAGTGGGCGAGTTAGCATGGGAGATTGGGCTGCCTTCTTGAATCTACTCAATAAGTCCGATGCCGAGTACGAGATCGCATTCCGTCTGTTTGACGTTGACCGCACCGGCACGGTCCAGTATGAAGATTTCCGAAAACTGTACGAGCTCAATAAGGGCGAGGGCAGCATCCCATTCGACTGGGACTGTGAGTGGGCTAAGCTGTATATCGGCGACAAGACGAAGCGGCACAACCTCACATACCCAGAATTCTCACAAATGTTGCGCGGTCTTCAGGGGGAGCGCATTCGACAGGCATTCCAACGCTTTGACAAAAATAAGGATGGATACATCGAGCCTGAACAATTCGCCAAGATTATTGTCGAAACCGCTAAACACAAGCTGTCGGACCACTTACTGCAGAATCTGTCAACTCTGTGCAACATCTCAACGAGTAGCAAAATCTCATATGCCAACGTTCGCGCTTTCCAGAACATGATTAAGGAGATGGATCTGGTCGAACTTATTATCCGCAAAGCAATCAGCCAGAGCTCCGACGGGAAGATCACGCGCAATGAGTTTCTCAACGAGGCTGCCAAAATCACTCGGTTCTCGCTTTTTACCCCAATGGAAGCCGATATTCTATTCCATTTTGCCAGCTTGGATGAACCCTCTGGTAGACTTGGTCTTCAAGACTTTGCAAAAGTTCTTGATCCTCAATGGGTTAACCGTGGCGTTTCGGAAGACTCACAGAACCGGGCCAAGGCTCTTCTACAGCAGAGCAAATCGACTACACAATCGGCTCTTTTGCAGGTTGCTGAGTCTGCATACAGTTTCCTACTCGGTAGCGTCGCTGGTGCTTTTGGTGCCTTTATGGTGTACCCTATTGACTTGGTCAAGACGCGCATGCAAAATCAGCGTGGAGCTGACCCGGGACAACGACTGTACAAAAACTCGATCGATTGCTTTAGGAAAGTCATAACTAATGAAGGTGTCCGCGGTTTATATTCAGGCGTTCTGCCCCAGCTCGTTGGTGTAGCTCCGGAGAAAGCCATCAAACTTACTGTCAATGATATAGTACGAGGCGCCTTAACCGATAAAAAGACTGGACAAATCCCCATTTCATACGAACTTCTAGCTGGTGGTACCGCTGGAGCTTGTCAAGTTGTAAGTGAGGGGAAAAAAAAAAAAAGACACGGCCAAAAGTAACTCTCGTGCTGATCCTCTTCTAGGTCTTCACCAATCCTTTGGAGATTGTAAAAATCCGACTCCAAGTTCAAGGTGAGATGGTCAAGGCTACCGAGGGCGCACAAAAGCGATCGGCTATGTGGATTGTTCGCAACTTGGGTCTCAAGGGTCTCTATAAGGGCGCATCGGCTTGTCTTCTTCGCGATGTGCCTTTTTCTGCCATCTACTTCCCCACATACAGCCATTTAAAGAAAGACTTCTTTGGAGAGTCGCCAACTAAGAAGCTTGGAGTTGTTCAATTGCTCACAGCTGGTGCTATTGCCGGTATGCCTGCAGCCTATCTGACGACACCATGCGACGTCATCAAGACGCGTCTACAGGTTGAGGCACGTAAGGGTGATACCAATTACACTGGTCTACGCCATGCAGCCCAGACCATTTTGAAAGAAGAAGGATTCAAAGCCTTTTTCAAAGGTGGCCCTGCACGTATCCTGCGATCGTCACCTCAGTTCGGTTTCACGCTAGCAGCTTACGAGGTTCTCCAAAGTGTGCTGCCATTCCCTGGAAAGCCCAAGGAGCAACAAGTCCATACTGGTGTTGCCGAGGTAGTGTCAACTATGCGGGAAAAGGACCTCGCTTCGCCACATGCCCGTAGCCGCAACGCTCTGAAGATCATCCTTGACATCGACGAGAACTTCGGCCGCGTACAGGCCGGAAACGAGAAAGCTTGGAAGGCAGTACCGCGACTCATGGGCGGCAACTAATAAGAGTCTCTCCAAGTCCGTTACAATTTTCTCTGTCTTTATAGACCTAGTAGAGGGATAAAGACCTGCATAAGACTGGCGTTTGAGATTTGGCAAGCGGATTGAAAAGACTTATGTGTTGGACTTCCTTTGTAGATTAGATGACACTATCAGGATTTCATGATTTGGTTTGTTCATACCCCTCGGTTCAAATAACCCCGCATAAACTTCTTGTTTTACTGTCAACCGAGCTCTAGAAGTTAGATTTACTTCCAACTTGCATAGATTGGAGACAGATTCCCAACGCGGATTGGCCGTCAACAATGGGGACATTGTTCCAAAGACTGATGGCTACAGCAAAATGGGATGACGGGCGTACAGTTGAAGTCATAATGATCTGAGAGTTAGACACGATCTTGCTGTGTGCACTCCATTGCCCGTGATAAGTTAGACGACTTCATCAGTCAAAACAGCAGCAATGTATTTCTTATACCCTCACATCATAGCCTACGTCATAGCTTTCAAAAGAGTCTCACAGTGCGTTGTGCCACATCTACAGACTATAGCAACCTCTTGAATCGAGCGACTCCCAGGCATGATCAGTCAACGTATAATGGAGGTTTCTAGCGACCAGGATACTTGTGAAGATGTTGGACAAACCCTTTTGGTATAACAATCTCCTTGGCACCATGCTACGGCCTAGAGTCGTGGGAGGAAAAAAAGCATACAGCCACCAACACCCTATTCCATAGCTTATACATCCTGGGAAGCTTGGAAACAATCTTCATCTCCGGAAGGTCCCTCTACCAGCGCCGTCCTGCTCAGGAAAAGGCGCAACGTGGTCTCCGGCCCTAGCCATCATCGCCCGCTCAAGCCACCAAGCGTATTCCTCAAACCCGCTCGTGCTCCCGATGACCTTGGCCACTCGGATACCCCTCACACCCTCGAAGAGGCGGAGCACATCGGGACCGGCAGCCCGCCACTCGGTCTGCCACTACAACCGCTAGAGTCAGTGATTACTCTTTCAGGTAAAAAGTTCTGGGATTTCTGCATACTCCCGAGACACACGTTTGCCCCTTATAGGCAACTATGGCGTCCGAGAATAACTGGAACAAGAAGAAAACGACTCCACTGGTTGTTACATACGGTTTCGATTACCAACTCGCTCTTGCCGGAGAACTGCGCCGTCACCTCGTCCCGCGCGAATTGAGGCTCCGCATCGAGTCTGACGCGAACCCGGAATCGCGTCACCAGCGAGGCGAGTGAGGGGCTGCGAACTGGCGCGTACGTCTTGCGCGGATGACTCGGGCTGAACAACGATGGGAACACGGTGAGCAGCGTCGCGTGGGCTAGGAACATGTTGCTCTTGTAGAGCACCGGAAGGCACTCTGCATGTAGCTGGCGGCATGTGCGGATAATGCTGGGGTACAAGGGGGCTGGGGGGTCTTGTTGCAAGAAGAACGGGGCGTGGGGTGAAGAGGAGACCGGTGTGGGAGCGGAGAGGGGATGTGATGGGTTTGAGGGTATGGTGAGCAGATGTGTGTAGATCTCTAGGCGGATCTCGAGTGGGAGGCTGAGGAAATCTAATAGGGGTGGTGGCGATAGCAACTCAGAAGATGGCGCCGATGGTGAGATGGCCGTGTCCTCGACCGAGCCAAGGTCCATGTCGTGTCCAGGAATATGAGATGCTGCGGACTTGCTCTGGGCGATTGGTGAGTGATGATTCTAAACCCGCATCGGGGACGGAGGGTGTGGAGATGCCGGGCTCAGAGCCACGACTGGAAGATGGCTTCTCTTGTATCAGTTCAGTGCGGTGCAAAGGTATCTGGCATCTCTGTCACCGTAATTCTGCGTTTTCCCGATCATGCGCTGCTCAGAAGAGCGCAAATATGGGTTGATACAGTAGCGATATCGCGACTTCAGCCATGCCGAGTGTGAGTCTCTTATCGTATTACACTGATTCGCTGTCGAGCCCCTCAGCCTACTGTCGCTAATGAGACCCCAGGTTCCATTGGTCCGGCCCTGACTACCTAATGCTTCGTTCTGGATGCGTCGGCTTGGGGTTGGTTTACCCAATGCGTGTCCAAGAACGTGCAACAGATATTCATGGTGCGTCATCGACACCTCAGACAAAAGCAACAAAGGGCAGCAAGCTGGAATCGATGGGATATTTGAAGCTATTCTGTTTATGAACCAGCGCGCTACCCCACCTTTTCTCCCCCAGATCTGCCCCGGATTTCGCAAACGACAATTTGCTAAAAATAGCACGCACGATTGTGTAGTCCGGAATTTTGTGTTCGTAACCTTAGTTGATTGTAAGGAGTACGAAGCCTAGCTAACATGTCTCGCCTTTGCCTCTAACCATTCTCCAATACACGATCTATACGCATCTATCTATCGATAACACCTTCTCCTATGTGAATAACTTCGATTCTAAGCCCTGTGGTACATATGGAATATTCAAATCCACATCATGTCTTCATTGTGGCGTCGCCATCTTGGCAAGTATTCCTTCTGTAACCTTCGGATCAGTCACGTCAGGTAAGTCTTCACCGCGACCTATCAGACCAATCAAACTATGATAATGTTAGTCGAGCACTTATTTCTAAGGGGGCCTCAAGAAGCGTGAGGAGCTGTTGTAGGAACCCTCTGCCTTCAGTGATGGCTGAAGCAAACAGGGCTGTAATTTGTAATTGATGCCACTTACTAGCTGGCTAATCGAAGTTGTCCGGGGAAGTCCGATTCGGAAAGTGCTAGCTTCTTGGCGCCGGTGATTTTTCCCGACAAGAGATCACTCGCGAACAAGGGCTCGTGTATTCCAGCTCGCCCAATTCCCACCCCATCAACACCCTCCAGCGTTGAGTTCACTGTAACAGTCGAGGTTAACAATCACCAACATGAACGAAGGCGGTAAACCTTGGGGACATGAAAACACTTCTAAGCTATGACAATAATTCCGAGCAGAACTTTGTTGTTGTGAATAGCTGAAGAAGGTAAGAAGGAATGGGTTAGCTAGAGTTGACTTACTTCCGCCCACGGTCCTCAAACCCCCCGTAGTGTACACTTTGGTCTGAGTCACAGCCTTTCGAATCCTTTCAGCGAATTCGACGAAGTAATTCTCGCGCTTCTTTGTGCTGTCTTTCTTATGCTCAAATGCAAAGTCCTCGTATGTTCCGCCAGAGGTTTCGACATAATCGAACCCAGCTTTTTCAAGAGCCTGGCAAAGGGCAACAGCCTCCTCAGACGTGAATCCCTTTTCCTGGAACTCCACCGAGTTCACCTTTATGCCCAAGACGAAGCGCTCGCTGACACGCTTCTTAACAGCGGCTGCGACTTCTAGAACGAGCCTCATTCGATTCTCAAGACTTCCTCCATATTCATCCGTCCTCTGGTTTGTAACCTGACTCAAGAACTGTGCGAGAAGGTATCCATGGGCACCGTCTGTAGTTCGCCGCAGTCAGCATTAAACACTTCACATAAAACAGCCGGGATTGGAAGCATTTCGCGCACTCCCGAGATATATGAATCAGTATTAAAGGAAGGATTTGGAACCTCACTGGGGGCTGCCGTAATGGGGAGATAATAATTTCAAAAATACATACGAAGTTCTATCCCATCGAACCCAGCCCGCTCCAAATATTCCGCTGCGTGAGCGAAACTCTCGATCACGTTATCGAGGTCTTGTCTAGTTGCCACACGCGGAACGCCGAAGGGGCCATTGCCGGGCGTAACGAGCTGTTACACACGCTGGAGTCAGTAATTGCCAGGTAGAGAAGGGATTCAGCCCATGCTTCGGGAGTATGCAGGAGTAATGAGGCCCAAAAGCTGCCTAAAGGGTAGAAATATAACTCCAGAGAACTAACCTGGACTGCACTGGCACTAATAGGGTGAGGTTGCAGAGCTTCTGGTGCTTGTCTGCCAGGATGAGAGACCTGTCCCACGATCAAACTCCCATTGCTTTTCCCTGCCGCAGCGAGTGCAGCAAAGGCCTCGAAACGGGGCCCCGAGAACTCAGCGTCGGGAGGAATGATCGCGTTACCGGGCCCTTCGAGGTCCGTGTACGAGATTTGAATGTTTCCGGTAAGTATTTGGCCCCAGCCACCCTTGCCAAAGATAGAGTAGAGATGTATCAACTCTGGCGAGGGAATCCCACGCTTTTCTACGTTCACTGCATCAAAACTTGCCAAGTGTTCAGACGTAGCGGCCTTGAGAAATCGATTTGGCGCAGTGCGTTTGGAGTATGGGAAGACAATGGGCTCGGCGAGACGTTGCGTGTCAGTGCTCGTGGAAGGCCAGCGAGGGACGTTAACTTTCGACATTTTTGCAATGATGGAGCGCCTCGAAGACAGAGAATATGGTTGAGACTTGTTCCTTGGGTTCTGACTACGTCTCTCGAACGTCGGGGCCGGTATCATGAGCTTTATAGCCTTCAACCGACAACACACGTCTATTTCTTCGGATTATATAATATCGGACAACCTTATATCCTATACCCGATGGATATGACTAGTCCAAGCTAAGAGAATCGTATATTATCAAGTTACCTACCTGATAGACCTCAATAGCCAAGGGAAATGGACAAAAGCTGAGATTGGAACAGCAGCGCCGTGAGTGGCTGGGCCGTCGGATGAAAAGTCCGCCGAAGCGGATAAGAGCACGTAACGCTCTGCATAGATAGCTAGGGCAGCGATCACATCATGTTTGATGACTCTGAATCGGGATGATGGTTCTGCCGGAGCTTAGTGGATAGTCATTAACACCGTGGGACTCCGGGCACACTAACCTAAGGAGTAGTGATAGATTAGTCATTTTCATGGATCTTGCTTGACAACCGTCGTAGAGAGTGAAATCCATCTCCAACTCGCCGCATTACTCACTCACTGCCCTGGTCACGAATCCTAATTAGGTTGTTATGATTAGATTCTAGTTCGTTTCTCCACCTCCCCCCTTGCTTCTTCTAGCCTCATTCATTGATAGAGGACTGCTCACGAACTGATAAGAATGTGCCTATACGATAATCCTACAGAGGTTATCTACACCTCCCGCTCCACACAATCATAATCTGTGCTGACTATCACATCCTCCCATTCCCTCAGAAGCATTTCGGTATTCTTCAACTTGTTTCTAATGCCCCGTAGCGCATCACTCCCGAGAACAAGTCGCGGGGGGATTTCCCGCCCAGAACCGACACCAGTCTGTGTCAACACATCGACAATGACACTAGCACCTCTGTCCACGTTGCCAGGCTGCCTGTTATCCATGTGTAAAATGGCCTCTTTCTGTACAGCGAGTCCGGCGTCTGCGTACTCACTTTGTAACTGCTCTTGTGTGAGGAGACGATGACTGCCGCCTTCGTTTACTGCAGAGCATTGGCACGCGTCAGTAATTCACTAGCAAGAAATATATATATATAAATCGATGGGCCTGAAAAGGTATGGGAAAGTGGTAGGGGACCACGAACAGACTTTGGTTCGGAAGAATCCCGGTTCGATAACCACCGCTGCGACTCCTAGCGGTCGGCACTCTAGGTTCAACGACTCGGTAAACCCAGATACCGCCAACTTAGTAGCTGACTATTCACAGATCGACTAGTTATTAGTATTGTCTTTGAGACCGATTCCCATTTCCACGGGAGTGTATGCGTAGGAAGATCTCGTACGTAGTAGCCGTATGCTAACCCTCCCTCCCAGCTTGCGAGACTGCCGAAGTTTGCGATAACGCCAAAACCCTGTGGGCGAAGAAACCGTAGCGCGCAACGTGTTACAGTGGCAGTACCCAGCACATTTGTTGCGAATATACAACGAGTCTCTTCGTATCTGACGAGTAAGATCGTTAGATATTGACCCCTATTCAGCGCTTTGAAGGCAAACTTTTGGGAAAGGGAAGCGAGGGATGTATAAAAGCAAGTGAGGGATAGACAACATGAGTGCCATAGCAACTTACGAAGCGGCCTCTATGACACCCTCCAACAGATATCCAGCAGCATTAACGCAGTGCGTGATCCTGCCATAGACATCGACGACTTTTTGCATCATGTCCATTATCGCTGTTTCATCGCTCGTAACGTCGAATTTTAAAGTCATGGCACCATCGTCTTTGAGGTCTGTCATCTTGGACGCATCGCGTGACGCTGCCGCGACGTTGTCGCCCCGTTTTAGAGCTTCAATGGCTATGGCTCGCCCAAAGCCGCTGCTTGCACCTACGATGAACCACACGTTTCCTGTCATTATAGATGAAAATTATTTACTAATGGTGAGAATAATAAATAGCGCATTTAGAGATTATAAGTGCTTCTAGTGAAGCCTGGAAATTGAAGGTATACTGTCTCGTTACTACATCCTCGGGCATTTTATACGCATTAAGAATATATATCTCAACACACACGACTCTTCCACCTCCCCCGTCGAGTTTCGTCAAAACTATTCGTATCTCGTATCTGTTGTCTTCTAATGCAAGATGTTAGCGTCGCCCACGATTTGAGTGGTGACGATGACCTTCACTAGCCCATGATAATACAATGTCAGACGGATGCATTTCTGTTTGCTTACTTGTGCGTTATTTCATGGTCAATTGCTCATGGCCACTCGATATAGACACTACATCCGAGAGCGACCAGCACTAGTCTGACTGTACGTTGCGGATTCGCTGAGTGAAAGAGTGAAATGCCCACCTGCTTCCTAGGCTACTGAGGCAGCATAACGGTAAAACATAACGATCACCACACCGATCCAGAATACCGTTACTAAGCATAACGACCTGGAGCTCGATATCAAAGCAGTAGATACCCCGATACCCATAGCGGCTCATTCAACGGGCGGGCTTGAATTAAACTACATATGGGCTACTCGAACTGAGAGATTACATAAACCTTTATTGATATATATATACATTCGAATATTTTTGCGCTTCATCTAGAAGAATTGTTATTACATATAATATCAGTTGTTAGTCTTTGGCTAACAGTATATCCACAGCACCGATTTTCTCCCAGCTAAGGTATGTACTAGTATCGCTTGGGTCTCCTTGCCAAGCGTATTCTATGATATCCACGCCATCGTCCTCATCTGCATCGACCAAGCAGTATAACCGCCGACCTGTGTTGACAGTCATCGTAGCACGTCCCCGGCAGTCCTGTAGATCCTCGACTGGATCGCTGGATGCTTCCCACTGGCTGTCCTTCATATACGTCAACTGGACACCATCATCGACATCTGGATCAATGCTGAGCACCTGAAAACCGAGGGGCGTCGGGTTGTCCGAATCGCTCTCGTTGAAGCCTGTCGAGAAGGCTGCAAAGTTGGTTCGTGGCCCTATGTCCCGACCCACATATTGGGGTAGGAACGCGCCATTGCCGATTCGCAACTGTGTCAATCCACTTGTCGTTGATCGGTAGAAAAGGTTGAGACTCCGGCGCAGGATGGCGTCCTTGTCTCCTGTCAGTGTCCCGGAAAATGTGAGCGCTATTGATGTATTGGCCGATGGCTTCTCCGTTATGTCTATCAGATTCGCGTCTGTGAAAGACTGGCCCGAATTTTCGGCCATATAAAGACCCTGTTCCCTTTGCCAGAAGAAGTATGCGTATTGATTACAGAACTCGCATTGCTTGCCGTAGGCGGCAAGTGAAGACCCGGGCATCGAATTAAAACCACTAACAGTATCCACAGATTGCCAGTTATTAGTTGGTACCCGATCTGTTGTAGATATATCGTCGTCGCTGCTGTAGGACAGGGACATAATAGCTGTCACTGATCCCTCGTTCTGGTAGTAGATGCTCACGTCGGGACTCTGCAAGGAACCAACACTTATCAGCATAACGTAGCTGGATGGTAGGAGAAATAGAGACAACTCACGTTGGCACCTTGCCAGAAGGTGTCAATCGCCAGAGAAGAGCCACGTAAGATTGGGTTCGTCGTTCCATTGATTATGTTTGATGCAACCCATTTATTTGTCGATGTATTGAAAGCGGACATGCGAATAGTTGTGTCTCTCATCTGATATATCACTAGATAATTCTTGTATCCGTACGCGTCGGTAAAATTGGCCGAAGCCAGCCGCGACTGCTTGTATACTCTCGCCATCCCGGAACCAGTGTTGACCTGTCCAGCATCTTCATCGCCACCTTGATCTCCATCTTGTGACGGGGATGAGGTCTCTTTTTGGCTACTGCTCCTTGTGCCTACTACAGCGCCAACGACAACGCCGACAATGACTAGAATAGCGCCAGCGAGCACAAGCCAAAACACTTTTCGGGGGAGGCCGCATATCTTCACGCTCTTCGAACCACCACCACCAGCACCTACTGCCTTTGCACCGCCACCCTCTGCTACTTCGGGATATGTTGAGTATGCCGGTGATGTAGAAGGCACAGAGGCCGCTGCTGCTGTAGGCAATAGCTTGTCGTTTTCGGGTTGTGTCGCCGCATGCCCTGGCTTCGTCGGGTCATAGTACCCATAGGGCTCTAGTGTCGAGGGCGGCACTACCTCTAAACCATTTCCCTGCCTCAGAATATCTTCATTCGTGGCCACCTCAAGAGTGCTGTATTGCTCTCTCCCGGATGGAGCAGTCATCCTTGCCGTTACTGATCGTCGCAGTTGGTGTTGTCCACACAAGCCGAGACAAGACGGCGGGAAAAGTAGACCAAGCGAGGCAGGAAGTGAGCTACCTACATTAAGAATCTGACCAGCATGGGATTGTATCAACAACACATGGCTAGAGTACCTAATATAGCCTAGGGACTGCGTTCCACTTAGCTTGCTAGGGTGTCCATGTCCAAGATGACCACTCTGACCATCCATGGACCATAGCAGAACCATAGTTAAAAGCGAGAGGGTAGCTCGGGTACCTAGCGTACCAGTATACCAGGCATGCTTCCAATCTGAGCCACAGGCTGACTTCTTCGGCAGGCCTTTGCATCGAAGGATTTCTGTCCTACCGTATATTCTGTGGGGCGGACTGGAGTACCTACTCGAGCTACTAAGTATGTTGATGCTCAACACTTCTCTCTTTCGCGGGACCTGTTAACTGATTTTGGAGTAGCTTAACATATACGGCCGCTCCTTAGCGGTATTCGCCGTCGGAATTGGCCAAGTACCCAAGCGTAGTGCTGATCCTCGTGTGCCCTACGGTACAGTACATCTGAAGGCAATTGACACTATACTAGGTATGTGAGGCAGTCTGTCTGTCTTGTCTCTATTTGCAGATAGGCATAGCTTTCCTTGCTATTACCACAAGCGTGTGGACGGCGCTGAAGCCGGCTGTGAACACCTATAAAAAAAAGGAAACTTGAAGCTTGGGTTATGCTGTGATCGATGCTCAGTCTTTCGGGTTAAGTTGTAAACACAACTTCTGCGTAAAACATATAGTAAGTAACTTACGAGTGAGGTTCTTCACTTCGCATGAACAAGCTGCGCGTCCAAACAGGCAGCTACAGCGCTAAGTTACATACTTAAGTAGACATTACTTTGTATGTACACTATGTACAGTAGAGTAACGGTGTAGGCATGTCAGCATCCCAAAACGCTTGGCGCTGGAAATCTTGCCTTCCTAACTTAGATGAGACCTGGCTGGTACGTAGAAAACCCCTCCGGAGTCCGCATATCAAGCATCGTGTCGTCTGATCAGCCCCCCTTTGCGGCCAAGGGTGGTGGTGTTATTACACATACAAATACGGGGAGTATAGACAAGTATATACTTGAGTAGCTAATGGATTGCTGTACTGTAGGGCGTAGTGTCGACTGAAGCACCCTTTTTCAAACGTTCTGGGCTGTTCTGGGTACCATGTGGAGAAAGGGAGAAGATACCGATCGATAGCCTACCTAGATAGTCAGTCGAGTCCAAATATAACGTGCAGCTACGTTGCTAATATGCGTGTACTTAAGAGATGTGGTATTTAAGCTGGCTATTGTACGCTACTGCTTAAGTCTTGAGGTGATCTTGGTTAGAAGCAGCTGTGCGAAAACCAAGCCAAACTCTGAATAGCCACACAAATGACCTGGCCAGTGCGTGCTTCTGAGCTCGAAGCGCGTGTAGTGTAAATGATATGTTCATGATGTTTATATGCGCTCCTACGTATATAGTATCCGCTAATTCAGGGCGTGTTGGGAGCATGTTTCTCGAGGGCTCGAAAAATAGCACAGCTCACGGGCCAGCTGGACCCTGAAAATTATTAATAGGTAGTGCCAAATAATCGACCTGCATTTTAGAGGTGTTGTCTGCGCGAACCTTACGCTGACTACGGTCTTTGTTCGATGGCTGTAGATAGGTATCCTAAGGTGAGTCTTACTGTAGTTTAATCAACACAGCGTTGAATACTACGATGATGAGTGACTCGTGCCCGTTGTTTGGCCTTGCTCTTCCCCCGATACCTCCTCTAGTGTTTGCTCCACCTTCGATTGATATTCTTTCCACTGCTCATCAGTTATGTGAAGACGTTGCGCAAGCCCCGTGATAGAAGCCCATGCCCCGAAACATATGACAAACTTGAGTACCTCTGCTTGAAAGAGGTTGAGCAACATTCGGCTCACCAGACCATCTGTTAAGCTCACTTCAAACATACCATCCATAGGAAAGCTAAATTTGCGGGCAAATGCCCTCGCCATAGCTCGAAATGCAAGAATATCAAATGGTGTTAGAAGGGCATGCGTGAGAGAGCTTGTCAGGATATCTCCGGCGAGGAGTGAGGGCAGACTAGTCAGGGTGTTGACGACATATTTGGCCCCTTCCTTTTCTTGTGTTGTGGGGTCTCCACTGTTGCTGGGACGAAGTTCAGCAGACCATATTCCTGCGGGTGGTTCAGTTGATTCGCTCGTATCAACATCAAAGCTGATCAAAGTTGGGTTGACCATATCCGGATCTTCTTCGTCCGTAGCGTAGTCATCTCCGCCGCGGCTTGAGAATGTGCTCTGCCTACGTATTGTGCCAACGGGAAGAGGTTCCCCAGCACCTTCGCCATTTATTGCTAAAGAGTCGCCGTCCAATTCTGGACCATGTGTGTGTCTGATCTCGCGGTCGGCGTCTCCTAACGTAGGAGATTCTGGAAACGATGGCCTCCGTGGGGTGTTGGTAGGAACTGGAGCTCGAAGAGGTGAGATAGGACTTGGCCACGGATGTGGGAGGCTTCTGTGTACTTGACGCCGAATGAGATAACTGAAGACATCCCAGGCACATCCGATCAAGTAATAACCCGCAAATGGAGCAAGACTCATCGCGATCTTGCCTACCCATTCCGGAACGGTTTGGGCGCCTGGTGAGCCTAATGGTGGTGGTGCTGTTAGAGGCGAGGAGCTAGAGAAGGGAACGAAGAAATTTAGGTTAGGGAACCAATGAGAACCAGAAATCAAATCCAAACGTTGCATGGCAACATATATCTGAAGGTGAAACCTGACATGTCCTATGATGGCTCGAAGCCTGCAAGTGGTTAGAAGTTGAATGTCGTGAAAGCACTGAGTGTGCTTACCAAGGGTGATCTCGAACGATTTCCGTTGTTCTCGAGTACCACTGTAACGACCACGCACTAAAAAACGAGGGCATTCCAGAAAACAGCAATTGTGATGCCGAGTGCATTCTCCGCTCTCTTTGTATCATATCTAGGAATGGAATAGTGGCGGTTTCCCTGTATACCTGTGACGATGTGAGAATGGTCGAGACATGCGCTCGGGAATACATGGGCTTACCAATATGCGCTGCCGTACACCATGGACACCCCATATGCCGGCCACAACGAGGACACGACCAAGCCGAAGGAGATGCCTGCCGGTGCTGTTCTCATATTCGTTGTGCAGCCTCGTGTTATCAGCTGTGGAGCTGGTTGAGCCGCCGGGGTCCTGTTCCGCGACCCCGATTACAAGCATTACTTCATTATGAGCACGGATAATGTCTTTGTTCATCTTCTTGCTCTCCTCATTGAAGACCCGGCCATGCTCGTCATACACTCGAGGTGGTTCTTGAGGATCTGGTTCGCCCTCGCCCGCCACAACATCATCATAGGGCGACCGCCCCTATCAAGTTATTAGCGCGACATGGAAAATAATACCAAACGGGTCTGAGAAGGCGAAGAGCTACCAACCAGTGCTAAGGATGTCAGTGGCTCATGACGTCCCATTGTATCGACTCCAGAGGGCCCCAGCCAGAGAGTCCGAGAGGCCAAGTGTACCTTGCGTCGTTACATGCAAACAAGGCAGGAAATATCAAAGACACCATCAAGCTCTTAAGATGTCGAGCTGCACTCTTGCGCGACTTGTCCAACGCGAAGAAGGGGATAACTATATTGACGCATGAGTTGTACATATGCTGTATAGGTATGTGTCGCCGACAATGCAGTTGGCTTGGACTGAGCCGCTCATTCGCATGCTCAACATGGCCGATTGGGTGAGGCTCCTGTTGAAGCAGAGCGGGTAGGTGCAGCTAGGTGCAGCTAACCAACTTTCTAGGCCCTTTTCAAGCCTTGTGCTACCTACGTGTAGGGACCGGGCTGCTGGAAGTAGTGCTAGAGCGCTCGCAGGGTACTGCAACACTCGGTACTGCGTACATCGGACCGCGGGTCTCCTTTCTAGTTGCATCATTCCGATGCAAGATCATGGCGCCCTCGAGATGTAGAATGCTTCTCGAAGCTATGCCTTGAATGTTGGAGTGGGTTTGTCCAAGTTTAAACAGCTGTCCATGTTAGCCAACGCTGGGGGTTCTGGTGATAGCAGCAGGTACTGCGTACATGACATCCAAGTCTCTTATCGATATCATTATCCTTTTTATGGCCGCTAAAAATTTCAAGATTCATCCCACTCCAGCTTCATTGCGCTGGGAGGAACCGAGTGATACCCGGCTACCTTCGCCGCAGATTCCCAACCATGGCCGCCAAAGCGCCTTTCAAGACAACATATGCGGCGAAAGAAGTCATCCGGCCCATTTTTACCGGGGGCGCTGCTGCTATCGGGAACAACGCGCGCATACTGGCTACGACGCTCGGTGAAGATGTGATCCTAACCGACATTAAGACTGGCAAGCATCTGGCCAAGATTGAAGGGGTTAGTCCTTCCGACTCTAATATTCTCGCGGCACGAGTACTGAATATCTATGAAACAGGATGGCGAGCCCATATCGACACTGACTTGTAGGTCACTCTCTCTCTGTGAGGCAATGCGCCGGCAATACTAACAATACATCCTCGTTCTACAGTAACGCCGTCTGGCTCTCACCTTATAATTTGCTCCCGGTCTTTGTCTATGCGAATCTACTCCCTCCCGAAAACGCCGACGAGCGAGTCAATAGACCCTCAACTTGTGAGAACTGTGCGACCACATGCCACCCCTGTTGTGGTCCTAGCCGTCGATAGGACGAGTACCTTGCTCGCAACTGGTGGTACTGATGGGTCGATCAAGGTATGGGATATAAATGGCGGTTATGTCACTCATACCTTTCGTGGTCCAAGTGTCTTGGTGTCCGCGCTCTTGTTCTTCGAGCTCGCAACTAGCTCGAAGCAACAGCCCGAGACTAAAGACTTGGATAAAAAGAAAAAGAGGCATTCTAGGGCTACAGATGACCATGGCGACGAGAACGTTCCCACGACGGCAAAATTCAGACTTGCATCGGGTAGCCAGGATGGTAAAGTGCGTGTGTGGGATTTACACAAAAGGAGCGTCGTTGCCAATCTCGACTCTCATGTGTCCGACGTTCGCGGCCTTGACTACTCGCCCACCCAGAATGCGCTAGTAACTGCAAGCAGAGACAAGACGATTCGGTGGTGGGATACGAGGTCTTGGAAACCACGAAAGGTGATTCCTTGCTTTGAGTTAGTAGAGGCGGTGGGATTCCTCGGAGACGGCCAATTGACCTACACTGCGGGATCCAATGGATGCCTGCGGATATGGCAGACTGAATCCGGTCGCGAACTGACCGCAGAGCAAAAGACTAAACCTGAAGCTGAGGCGTTCATTTCTGCAATCTATCAGCCAGGCTTCCCATTCGTTGCTTGTATCCAGGTGGATCATACCATCGCTCTCTTCGAGGTCCCTAGCGAGGGCGACGCGTCCGTAATTGCGCCACCCGAGCCATTTCGCCGTATATCAGGGACACACGATGATATTATCGACCTGCGGTACCTTCTACCGGATCACTCTGTTATGGCGCTAGCCACAAATTCCGAAGATATTCGTATTGTTTCTGTTTCAGAACCGAGTGATAGCAATGCCCTAGTGTCATCCGAATATTTTGGTCAAGATATTGCTCTCCTAAAGGGCCACGACGATATTATCATTACACTAGATGTTGATTGGTCCGGTCATTGGGTCGCCACAGGCGCAAAAGACAACACTGCCAAGATCTGGCGGGTTGATCCCAAGAACAACTCTTATACCTGCTGGGCAACGTTCCAAGGTCATGCTGAATCTGTCAGCGCTGTGGCATTACCTCGCGCACGACCTGTGGATGGCTCAAAAGCATATGCTGACCCTCTAAACCACCCACCACAGTTCTTACTAACAGGTTCTTCCGATCAAACGATCAAGAGGTGGGAGATACCGAAAGAGCAACAACAACAACAACAACGCGTGAAATCCGGCATTCGGGCCTCGTATACACGAAAAGCCCACGACAAGGACATTAACGCTATTGATGTCAGCAACAATGCTCAATTATTCGCCTCCGCCTCGCAAGACAAGGTCGTCAAGATCTGGTCAATAGAAGAGGGTGAGGTTCAGGGTATACTCCGTGGTCATCGCCGAGGTGTTTGGTCCGTCTCCTTTGCTCCCCTCAACACACCGGTGCTTCAGGGCGAGCAGGGCTCAGTATCTGGCAAAGGTGTGGTAATCACTGGGAGTGGCGATAAGACTGTAAAGCTTTGGAGTCTCACAGACTACACGTGTCTCAGGACCTTTGAGGGACACTCCAATAGTGTTCTAAAGGTAGCGTGGCTCAAGTTGCCACCGCCGGAAGAGCGCTCCAAGAAGCCTATTCTCATCGCCAGTGCCGGGGGTGATGGTCTAGTAAAAGTATGGGATGTCAACTCGGGCGAAAATGAATGTACTCTGGACAATCACGAAGACCGAGTGTGGGCTTTAGCTATTCACCCCAGTACTAACATGATTGTCTCTGGAAGTGGCGACTCTACTGTGACGTTCTGGGAAGATACGTCAACAGAAACACAAATAGCATCGAATGAGGCGGCTCTGAAGCTCATTGAGCAAGAACAAGAACTTGACAATTATGAGTATGCAGGCGCTTACCGCGAAGCTATAACATTAGCGCTTCAACTGAATCACCCACGCAAACTTCAAGGGCTCTTTGAAAAGGTAGTCAACTCAAAAACACCGGATGCTAGCAGTCTATCAGGCCTGAAACCCGTTGACGAGGTCCTCGCTACATTATCGGATGAACAGCTCTTTTTGCTTCTATTACGGCTGCGAGACTGGAATACTAATGCGAGGACGGCACCAATGGCACAGCGCATCCTGTGGACAGTTGTGAAGAGCCATCCTGCCAGTCGCTTATCAGGCCTCTCTGTGAAAGGGGCCAAGGGCCAGAAAAGTCTCAAAGAGGTGCTCAATGCACTTAGGGTCTACACAGAGCGACATTACAAACGAATGGAAGAGTTGGTTGACGAGAGTTACCTGGTGGAATACACTCTAAGAGAAATGGACACTCTGGCGCCGAGCTTGGATAACATGAAATTGGCTGACGGGGTGGACACAGATGTGATAATGACATGATATGTAAATTTACTCACGAATCCGAGTATTAACCATCTTAATTATACCAGACGTATATACTCAGCCTATAGAACCACCAAATCGCCCCAAGTTGAAATGCATTTTGGCTTGAATAATTATCTAGTTAATCTGTAAAGGGCGAGCAAACCTATGACAAACGCCTCAGGCACTGGCTGAGCCACAGTGTGGCGCTAGCTTGCCCAAGTGACGTTGTTTGATTTTTTTTGGTGCCATCTAGTAATGCACGACTGCTTTCAATGTGTGGCCTTATATGTAAATATCAAGCCATTCTTACGTTTTCACGTTTCGAGTGACTATGAGCTTCCTAATATTAATATGATGGTGTAGTGGATTGTAGCGATGAGATTCGCAGATATAATCCTGGATTTGGCGGCCGTGGCCAAAGCCTCCCGGTCTGTAACTTCGAGGCACTTGGATTTGCGCGCCAGACAAATTGATCGCTACAGCCAGACTTCGAGCATTATCAGGTCGTTACGCGACGATAAAAGCAGCACTCAAGGGAATTGCGACCCAACATCTACAGCATCTGCGAATGATGCGACGAACAAAGGTCTTGAAGAGCTGACGCACAATGAAGCATCATTGCAGTCTGATTCGACCAGCGGCAAAAATCCAAATACCAAAACTTCCATCATATCTGAAGGGATATCTAGTGATCCTGATTCAAAGGCTTACCAATCTATCTTCCAACGTAGATCCACTCTGGCAGATGCAGCAGCTCAGCAACCTACAGCGCTTCGGCCTGACCAGAGCGCCATACTCGCACAGCTGAGGGAAAAGGCAAATTCGAATTCGCAGAACTATGCGGAGTTGGGATTAGGTCAAGCAAAAAATGTGCAGGAAGAGGTTCCCTCTGGCATCAACATTAACGTCTTCCATACGAGCCGGGGTTCTCAAATGCTAGATGGACAAGAAGCTGCATTGGGACAGCTTCGACCTAAAGTGCCGCTCACAAAGCCCAGCTGGTTCAAAGACTTTGGACATGATGCGCCGAAGGCACTCAGAGAACAGCATGGCGGGAAGCCGCTTCCAACTATTTCCAAGACCTCAGGGTCGGGGGTATCTCCAGTCGAGCAGAGTGCTGCAGCTGCAGATGTGGCTATTGCGAGCCCGCAGCGAGGAGAATTACCAAACCCGCCGATGGAAAAGAAACTTATACCCTCGCTTTCGCTAAATACGGACCTATCACCAGACACAGCTAGGCGGGAAACAACTACTCGGCCTCCGGAAAATCATATATCAAGTTTCCAAGAAACTAATGGTCGACAAATAGAGAGAGAGAATACCGAAACAGTTAAAGAAATCCTTTCGCGAGGAGGACTCGATAAAAAGGATCAAGAAATCCCTATCCAGTCCTTGCATGAAGAGCCTCCTTCACCAGTACATGCTCTTCGAGAATCCAAAGTACCGGCAACTCGTCTGGGTCGCATATGGAACTATGGCGGTCTCGCAGCTGGTATGTTGGGGGGAGCATTAACCGAAGGGCTTAGCAGAGGATTTGGTGGCGGTGGACAAGGTTCCATCATGTTCAGCGCTGGCAACATGGAGAGATTGGTGGCAAAACTTTCAAGGATGAGGGGAGCCGCTTTGAAGCTTGGCCAGATGATGAGCTTCCAAGACTCCAAAATGTTACCAGAGCCAATTCGAGAAGTCCTACAACGTGTCCAAGACCGAGCAGACTATATGCCTGCGCGGCAGCGAGACCGCGTACTTACGGCGAGTCTGGGGTCCGAGTGGCGCGACTTGTTTAAAGAATTCGAGGAGACTCCTATTGCCGCAGCTTCTATTGGACAGGTCCATCGCGCCACTCTGAAAACGGGCGAGAAGGTAGCCGTGAAGATTCAGTTCCCAGGTGTCGCGGACTCGATCAACTCAGATCTGGATAACATCTCTATGCTCCTGATGGCGTCGGGGATGTTACCCAAAGGTCTCTACCTCAACAAGACGATCGACAACATGCGCACCGAACTCGGCTGGGAATGCGACTACGAGCGCGAGCTTGAGTGCGGGAAGCGATACAAGGAGCTTCTTGCGGACGAAGGCGATGTGTTCGCCGTGCCGGAGATCTACGCGCGCGCCTCCGGGAAGCACGTGCTGACGATGCAGTTCATGGAGGGTGTAGGCGTAACGCGCGTCAAATCGTTTACTCAAGCACAGCGTGACTGGATTGGCACGCAGATCCTGCGGCTCTGTCTGCGCGAGATCATCGAATTCCACTTCATGCAGACGGATCCTAATTGGACCAACTTCTTGTATAATGCGGCCACTAACAAGCTCGAATTGCTCGACTTTGGCGCCTCCCGCGAATTCCCCGTGCTCTTCGTATCGCAGTACGTCTCGTTATTGGCGGCCGCGGCACGCCGTGATCGCGATGCTGTGATCGACTACTCGCAGCGTCTGGGGTACCTCACGGGCCACGAGAGCCGCATCATGCTAGACGCCCACGTAGCCAGTATACTGACGCTCGCGGAGCCATTCCTGCAATCTGCGCCAGTGGTCTATGACTTCTCGGACCAAACCATCACGGAGCGCGTCAGAGATCTGATCCCCGTTATGATGCGCGAGCGCCTCACACCCCCACCCGAGGAGACGTACAGTCTGCACCGGAAGCTCAGCGGTGCGTTTCTGCTTTGCGCTCGGCTTGGAAGTCGTGTGAAGTGCCGCGAGTTATTTGAGACCGCCCTTGAAAAGGCTGATTTTGAAGATGCTCAGAAGTGAGTATTGCAAATCGCTTACGCCGTGTATATACATGTATAGAATGCTATACTAGTACTTGGGACTTTTTTTCTTATCTTGGGAGTGTATATTAGCAATTTTATGTATGATAAGGCATAGACTTGGAGCATCTCAAAAGCCATAGGGAAAGCCACGGTACAGCACGAAGCGGCATCCTCAACCCTATGAAAGTAATATATGTATATACATCTCGGAAGTGAGTTAGTTTCGTGTTGGCGTGGTATGGAGATAGTAACCATGCCAGTATACTATAGTTTACTTTCAAATCTTTTATCTTCATGAAGTTGCTGAAGTCTTTAAGAATATTTGTAGAGTCTTGTCCTTAACTACTGTGGTATCGGGTACTTGTTATTTTCGAGAGCTAATCTATTCGCAATTGATTAACAAAAGCATTGCAGTGGCCACCAACCCTCTTCTCCTAAGGCGTGGCGCGTTATGGTGCATTCCGTCTCGCAATAGGCATATTTTTCCGCTCTCTCGCAGTGAGTTTCTTCCTCCTGCGCTCGATAGTCCGGTCGACCTGCTTCTTCTTCATGCCTGCGAAACGCTCCAGAAGTAATTGCTTTTTCTGCTCGCTCTTCTTCAGATAAAAGGGCTGCTTGCCCTGCGCCACGAGCTCTTTCTCCTGGCGTCGGTGCTGTGCGATGAGCTCGTGCTCCGCATCCCGCTTCGCCTGTGCCTCCTTGCGGCTTTGCATCGACTTCAGTGTACGCGCCAGCTCCTCCTTCTCGTTGGTCGACTTGGTCTTCTTAATGGCGGCTTTGAGCTGAGACATCTCCGAGTCCCTGTATTCGTCTAAGAAGGCATAGGCTTTGCGCGCTCGCGTCTCGTCCACTGCGCCTGATGCTGCCGAGAACCGCGGATCTCGGGAGGCCACCTTGTTGAAATTGACGACTTCTCGCTTCCGTGATACCTGCCGTTTGCTCGACATCTCCATTGGTGCGTGTTTGGAGGAGCGCTGGGGTTTAGGTGGATTTAAAGATTTCGAAACTGCTCTTGTGGGGCGACGCTCTTCTTCTCTCTCTTCTTCTTCTTCGTCTTCGCTATTCGATGTTTTGCGCCCTTTCTTTCGCCGGATATCGGGCATTGACGCCTGTGCTTTTGCGAGGGCCCCGAAGGAGACTTGGGCTACTGTTGACGAGGGGTCATCTTCTTCCCTCTCGATTTCCTCGTCATCATCTTCGCTTTCAGGTGTGGAATCAGACTGTTGATTGGACTCAGCAAACTGGTCATTGACTCAGGTGAATAGGCAGGCTTCAGCTTACCTCGTCGTCGGGAATCTGCCCTTCTCCGCCACTCAAGTCGCCGTCATCGCCATCCTCATCTTCGCTGTGCTCCTCCTCAATCTCGGGGTCTATGTCTTCTCGCCGAGCACGCACTCGTCTTTGTAAGCCCCCAAAGGGTAACTTTCTTTTATGGGATGTGTTGGGCGGCATTGGAGACTGTCGAAATTATAGCAGGATAGATACCACCTGTACGTAGGCGCTAACTGGCATGGTGATGCAACTGTAGAACAAAAAAGCAGCGTCGATAAGGCGATTGCCCCACCATCCCGCATTATCACTTTATCGATACTAGGTAAGTGCATAGTACTAGTAGGTAGCATCTACATACGGTATGTACATAGATAGTCGAGTAGTATAGGTACCTAGGACAAGACAGCCCATGTATCGCCACGATCTTTGTATCACTCCACTAAAAATAAAGACAGCCCAGAGATCTGCCCAGATCTTCAACACGACCTTTCACCTGAGTAACCAGTCTTCAACCAGTTTCTTCTAGGCCTTTAAGGTCAATTAGGCGCTTGTTTGATTCGTGTTTGCTTCAATTCACTTCACTTCAGCTACAAGCCGTTGCGTCATGTCTAGGCCAGGTTTTCTTTGCTTGCGAAGCTTCTCCTACCGTGGTAAGCCACCGAAACAGAACGGATTATTTCAACCACCCCTCCACCTTGGCGCAAATACCAGAAGCCCACGGTCACTCTCTACATCGCCATCTTCACCTCCCTCTTTGCCTCCCGCTTCACCTCCAACAACCTCCTCGCCGATCACCAAACCACCCAAGCGCCACACGGCCGACACAGCCCGGATACCCATCATGACGGCAGGAAGCTTTGGGTATCCACTTGCGCCCAGCTTCGATTTACTCCGGCGTGTCCCATTAGGCCAAACAAACGTGCATGCTCAACCCACATCAAAGTCGGGTACAGTCGCAAAGTAAGTTCGGCGCAACATGTACAATCCGAGGCGGCCTAAGCGCTAATCGTCAGAGCGTTAGACGACAACCGATCACGCCGCCTTCGCTAGAATCAGGTGGTGTTCCTGATCCTACACCAGAGTATCTCGCGCTCGCCTCGCACCCACCGTTCCTACTCCCACACCCGCGAAACTTGTTGGTAGTTATCGACTTAAACGGCACGCTGCTTCATCGACCTATTCGTAAACGGCCTTTCCATTTCGTCGAACGCCCCTTTGCGCGAGAATTTCTCTCATATTGTATCAATACCTTTACAGTTGTCATCTGGTCGTCAGCGCGACACGAAAACGTCATCGCCATGTGCGCAAAAATATTAAAGCCTGAAGATCGCGCCAAAGTTGTCGCCATCTGGAACAGAGATAACTTCAACTTCTCGCAAGCAGACTACAACCTGAGGGTGCAATGCTACAAGCGACTAACAGCACTATGGAACGATCCCATTGTCAGCGCAAGTCATCCCGATGGGGAGAAATGGAGCCAGCTCAATACAGTGCTCGTAGATGACTCGATAGAAAAGGCAAGGAGCGAGCCGTTCAATCTTATCCAAATTCCCGAATTCACAGGCAATACGAATGAACCTGGTTTCATGTTACCACAAGTCCATGATTACTTGAACGATTGCAGTCAGCAGACAAACGTCAGCGCGTATATCAAAAGCCAGCCTTTCAAGATCAAGCCCGGATTTACGCTGTAATTACAGCGTTTCATCGTCTATGATATTGATGTTGTATATAGCCTAGGACTTCTCAAGGCGGTTTTAGGGGCTGTGGAGCCGACACGCGGATATGAGAAATGAGAGATTTGGTCATTATAGACGGTGATAAACGGATGAGGACAACACATGATACCCATTGCGCAATGATTAGCATTGTACATTTGATGGACATAGATGGCTATTGCATAAAGAATGAATACCATGAACGTACAATCAGGCTTCACTGTGTAAAGCTCATATCTGTCTCTCGTATATACATACTAACTGATCATATGGGTCGCGTGGCTGGATGAAGTCAACCGCGACGACTACAGGGATAAATGAGAGATCAGTACTACAGGCATGTATGTAGATGTGATGGAAGTGGAGACGATGTTAGCCCGCGAGTTAGACCACATGAAAAGAGGATAGTCGAAGGTAAGTCTCGGGCTTGAGGCTTGATCCGGGGCAACGGTGAACTAAAGATGGTGGGGGGGACTCCACAGATTTCAATTACGGTAGATGGACTTGCGAGCTGAGTAGAGTTGTCAACTCTATCAACACTAGCCAACACATAATAGTGCCCGCGTCCACACTGTTCTCCCATCTTATTTCTCATCTCAGAGTCTCCTAGTAAAGGATACACAGAAACAGCAATACTAGCCAACTAAATAGGGAAATTGGTCACGTGCGCAGGCCATTAAGCAAGGAGGAAGCAGAGGGAGGGAAGGGGATCGTGAGGATAGCCAGGGCCAGGATAGGTATGGTAGCAGCGGACGCAGAGGGCAACAAGGCGTCGCCCTTGGTAGCTCTGCTCGCGGGTGGTATTGCGGGAGGTGTTGAGGCCACTTGTGAGGGTTCTCTCATCATAAGACTTACTTATGCTAACACATTATTTTACGCAGGCACATATCCTTTCGAATTTGCCAAGACACGGGTCCAGCTCTATGGACACGAGGGTGTTCGCAACCCGTTTGCGGTTGTCGCTCAGGTTGCGCGTCATGAGGGGATCGGAGCTTTGTATAAAGGATGCTCTACTATGGTAGTGGTATGTTGTTTACACATGGTTTAGGGTGCGAGACTGTACGTTGGTGCTCTGATGGCCCTGTACTGTTCATTCATTTCTTTGCTCAGGCGACATACCTATGTTCGCATGGAGGATGTCGTGTGCCAGATGAGACACATAAAGATGTGACCCGATGTCGATTCAACGATGCCATGAGTCAAGCGACCCGATCCGCCGGGTCAAGACAATCCACCCCAGCAGAATGAGCGCTGATGAAGTTCTAGGGCTCAATAGGTAAAGATGCAGCACGTTTTGTCGTATTCGACAGGATTCGGTCATTTTTCGAAGACCCGGTGACACATCGTTTGGGACTCGCAGGATCCATCGCCTCAGGCATGTTGGCAGGCGTAGTGGCCTCAACGGTAGCTGTCACGCCGACAGAGCGGATAAAAACTGCGCTGATCGACGACGCGAGGACTAGTCGCCGCTTCCGGGGCGCGATGCATTGCATGGCTGTGCTGTACCGCGAACAGGGCTTCCGCGGGGCACTGTACTCGGGTTACGTGGCGACGACGCTCAAGCAGATCGGGACCACGGGATTCCGGCTTGGGACGTATTCGGCGATCAAGGACTGGGAGCGCTCAAAGGGGATTCCCGTCGACAGCGCCGTGACGAGCTTTGCGAACGGCGCCATCGCGGGCACGGTCACTACGCTTGCGACGCAGCCGTTCGATACGGTGAAGACCAAGACACAGCAAGCTAAGAGGACCAGAATCAAGGATGCCATCCACACTATTATGGCTGAAGATGGGTTTCGTGGATTCTGGCGTGGAACTGTCATGCGTCTCGGTCGAACTGTTGTGTCTGGCGGCATATTATTTACGGCTAACGAAGAGGCTACGAAAGTGCTTAAACTCATGATTGGATAGTAATATTATGAAAACTTTACAATGGCTATTGAGTGAAGTTTACTTTCCCCAAAACCGACAGCTGACGCCTTTCCATGTTGTCTGCGCCCGCATTGATCGCGAAGGGGGTGTCAGCGGCGCTTCACGAACAAACCCTTGATGAGCTGCCATACCACACCGATTGTGAAAGCTGTCTGGCTTTCTGAGTACACTTGGCCTCGATCTCCTACGTCCGCCATTTTACACGCTATCTCGACCACAGCCGAAGGGAAGTGTTTCCCAACCCGGGCGTACGCGGCAACGAGATCGTTCCCATTCGTGACACCCCCTAGAACATCGTCAGCCATCTTCTCCACCACCAATGGTCTTACTTATTCTCTCATTCGAACAATATCACTCACCACTAGACCAAAAGTTGCGGTCCTGGATCCACCTATATTTCTCACCCACGAGCTTCGCAGTGGGGTGTTTCTTTTGCACGATGTCTTGTAAACCTCTTGGTCCGCAAGCTGTCCGGCCATCGAGTAGGCCGGCGGCACCACACAAAAAGATGCCTGTGCAGACGCTCAATATATCTGTAGTCTCACACCTTGAGTGTGCTTGGAGAAAGTCGAGGATATGCTTTTCCCAGCTCGCGCTGGGATCCGGGCCCGGCACTAGCACAACATCTAGTTTTCCGGGTTGCACCTCGGCATCGGTAATGTCGTGCGTAGCGCGTATATTCAGGTTGGCGGTGAGCAGAATCGTCTCTGCTTTGGCCTTGGCCTCGGGCGAAGTAATGTAGAAGATCTCAACACTGGGGGCGATGTCAGGAATATGCTTGGGTAGCATTGGGAGCACCGATAGGTATTCCTTGCTCATCATGTAGAAGACGTCGATACATGCTAGGTCTAACAACTGACACTCGCCGGGGACGAAGACCCCTATCTTCACTGGTGATGACTTAGACATGATTTTGACTATAAAAACTAATATATGACAAGTTTCTATTTGGGGGTTGGGGGTTGAATTGATTGCTTCAAAGCCTCTTGCTCGAAGATCTATTTTTAAGACTTGTGTATGTGATAAGAAGATGAGAATACTAAACGTCTTTGCAATGCTGAAGCGTACGGTTTGGAATGGCTTGACTTATATACATCTACAACTCCGGGCCACCTCGGAGAGTTGGCAATTGCCATATTGGTTCAGCTTGTAAGCCTACCCGGCCAATCAGATTGACTCTTAATATCAACTAGCCGAAGAGAGTTGGCTCATCTAGGTACCCCTGCTCCTTGCTCCGACACCCCTCGGCGAATTCGCCATTCCAACTCCAGTTGTAAGTGAATAGGTTAGGTATCTTGACATTTTACTGAGTATTGTATTTAGTAACTAATATGACCTTTGCATCGGAGCTACCCTAGTCCAAACTGTTTCAATTTCGACACTGGCCCCTTGGACTTTTTTTTTTAACTACTCAAGTCTCGAACCTAGCGACTCACGAAAAACAAGCGAAGATGTTTTTAGCCCCTTACATAATGAGACTTATCGACAGGTAACCTCAAAAGCTTCTCGTCTTACTTTCCCAGTCTCTTGGCCTCAGAGGCGACAATGTTCGGGATCTCGTCCTCAAGCTTGGTACCATGGGCTTCCCAACCTAGATATTTCTTCGCACGAGCCGCAACACTCTTGGAGTTGGCTCCGTAGTTCTTGTAGTCACCCTCCTGCGTCTTCGCTTCAGGGATGAAACCTTGCTTGTGAGCCTCTTCTGCAATCCTCGTGGCCAGCCAGCGCCAGCTGAAGGTTCCATTCTCAAGGAAAAAGTACCCGTGTGGACCAAAAATTTCCGGGTTATTCGCCTTCTCCGGGTCGAGGGCGGCGCTCACTGCGAGAGCAAAGAAATTTCCGAGATCCTGGATGTGAACATAGTCCCATTCCGGACTGCCCTCGCCGGCCATGATGGGTGCAAAACCATTCTCGAGTGTGAACTTGGCCATATTGTAGGCCTGGATACTGCGCTGATTGACAGGTCCCCGGCCGGGACCGTATATCGTGGGAGGACCAACGATCAACGTCTTTACCTTGGTATCGTTTGCGGCTAGCACGATCTCGTCAACATCTCGATGATAGACGTGATGTGGAAGACTTGTGATGCGATCGATATCATCAATATCGTGGCTATATCAGTGTCAGCGCAGGTTCCGATCACAGCGCTTGGAAGACGGGTCACTTACTACTTCTCTTCTGGGAGCGGTGACTGCCCATATCTGTTATTGTCCCAGTCGTACCATTGCAGAATACCCGTTCCGCAAACATGGATCCAGTAACCAGGCTTTTCCGCACTGTGTCCTTCGGCAAGACCTTTGGCGATAGCTTTGGCGGCAGGGACGTGATCAGAGGAATCAGCCGTGTCTGGAAATGCAGTTAGTCCGACAGTCTTACACCCCTCTGAAAAAATTGTCTTTCCAAGGCTGACGTACGAACAACGATGTCGGCCTCGGCAGCAGCTTTCTCGAGGGCCTCGGAATCGTCTAGGCCGCCATAGACGAACTTGGCGCTTGGGTACTGCGCAGAGACTAGCTTGGCCTTGTCTTCGCTTCGCACGAGCAAAGTGAGGTCGGCATCCGGGTGGGCTTGGCTAATAGAGTAGAGTGCCTCGCCGCCAATATAGCCTAGTGATTCAGAGTGTCAATGAATGACCCGGACCGTCCTAATCAATGCTTCTCGAAAACGTTTGCTACAACGCATCCTGAGTTGTCTATTCTCATTGACATCTGGTTGGTAGTTGGGGTCATGGCCACTAAGTTACTAACCTGTGGCACCAGTTCTAGTTTCCAAGAGAGGGGTTAGATGGTGTTTGGTTTGCGCAACGTAGGTAGTTTAGTTAGGTTAGTCAGGTGCTTAACAGGGACTCACAAGAAGATCTTGGGGGCCATCTTTAGATAGCAGATTTCAAAGGAAAAGGGGCTTGTACGTTTCTGATGACAGGAGAGTTGGAGACAGATGGTCTGAATGATCTGTTTGGGGTTGATTTATATATTAATGAAGCTATCTTCAACTGGTCATTGTCTGCGCATTGCTAATGTGATGATCTCATTGGTACAAACCCCCACTTCACTTACACAAGAACCTATCGGGCAAAAGAACACCCTCTGCCTGTTTCCTTCGCTGCGGCACCATGAAATTACTAATCGGATGAAAAAACACGCCGTGCTGCTCAATCGTGACTATACTAGGTAGCATGGTTAAGCGCGCGACTTCTTATGTCTCTCGAATATTCGCATTAGTTCGATGAAACGCTTGATTACATTATCCGATTCCATAGAAAAGCCCGCAAGGCGTCGTTGCTAGCTTATTGCTCCGGCTCAAGCGCATCGTGAACGGCCCACTGCCGGTATTTCAGTAAAAAGCTATTAGCCATGATATTATTCGCGGGCTGCCTTTCCCTTTTTATATCGTGTAGAGAATTCTAATGTGTGAGGGTGCGATTTGAATTTGCTTTTCACCGTACGTCAAGATCGAAACGACACAACACACTGGCTATATGCAAAGCAGGGTGTGATCATTCTGCATGCGCATCGAAGCATGTCCAATTGAGCGGGGTTAGACAGCGAGGTAGGCGATTGCTGGAGCCATAGTAGACAGAGTTCCTCATTCAGTAAATTATCAAAGCTTCATCCGATACGACAAATTTGCACAACCTGAAGTTCCCTGACCATGTGATTGTGACCCTGCTTGTTCGTTCAGATTATCTGGTGACATACATACACGAGCCTGCGCTGGATCGTATCAGTAGCCTTGCGTGTACCTAGTGTATTGCATCATAGCGTGTTCCGATGCAAAAGTCGAGCGTTGAAACCAGATTGTTGCACCTATGCCTCAAAGGCTATCTAGGCTTATCATAGTAACGGAGATGAGACAGTCAACTCTATAGGGCTTTGGTCGGCAACGTACATATAGACAATGGCTTGCTGTCCACAGACGTAGCGTCCGTTCCAAGACAATCTACCTACCTCTGCATGCATAGGCACATGCATCTACATGGTCTGCAATGCGTTCACGCTATCGGGGTTCTCTCTGCCTTCCCATTTTGCTGGCTGGCACAGTTGGTAGTAGAATAAACAAACAGCTATGTGTTACTCTATGGGTCAGTTTGACACTCGCGAATCTAACACGGGCTGATGATGAGAGGAACAAGGCTGTTGACGAAAGCGAATATGGTTTATTAGCTGATACGCATCCGTCCTGTCACCGAGACACTATAGGCGATTGCAAAGCTTCGAGAACCTATAGCACCGATTCTAACTCCTACGACTAGTCTTTTCATCTTCATGGCTTGAGAAGCTAAGAATCAATATAGTTTGATTCCTTGATGTATGAGGAAAAGAGTCCGTTCAAACGCTACTTAAACACAAAAAAGATTTCGGCAAACTCATTCTAGTATTTCTAAACGAATAAGTAAAATAGCGACCCAAAATAATTTGGTTGTAATGAGAACGATACACAGGAAGATTCGGGTGACTCATCGCATGACCGCCTCACTAAGATCAGGCGATCACAGAAAAATGTGGTGAGACGAGAGCTCTACGAAATGCGGAAATCAATCTTGAGCAGTTTAACATTGTTAGTTGCACGGCTATAGACGTACTGTAAGAGAGAAAATTAGATGGCAGGATTCAAAGGCAAACCCGAAGATGACTGGGCGACATGATACAATGGCAAGGGAAACAGGGAATTGAAGGCAAAGAGTCCTGCAGTCATTGCTTATGGCTTTCGATGCTAATGCAAGCGTCACCTCAGCGGTATATGACCTCGATTATTGATAAAGACCGTCTCACGTTGCAAAGCCGAGGCCGCACGAAGGGCCAACAAGTTCAACTCCTTTCGTCACTCTATATACTTGATTCGGCTCTGAACTGAGGCCATTACCCCCAATCGTGGGTTGATCGGAAACCCGGACTCGATGTTCTCGGGTCTACGGACTGTCTGCCGAAGATTGCCGGTCGAGGATCCCCGTTCCGGATGAAGGTAAAACGGACAGGCGGGATCGCGACGCCCAGCTCGGTTTCACTAAAGGATGTGTTACCAAGGAGAGAATCCACACTGATTGTGGTCTAGGCCCAGACCGACAATGCCTAGCTAAGTAAGTGAGACCTCTCGGCGTGGCTGTAATGCCTTGTCATCCCCGTACATGAGATAGAGTCGCCCTGGTTAGACCATCTCACATGCATCTCAATGCAGAGGGAGCCTACTGAGTCATCGCTCGCGATCTCGGAGACGTGGAAGAGGGCCACAACGCGGGGAACAACGGGGAAGTGGGGAACGGCACCTTTTGCTGGCTTCCTATTGCGCTTTTTGTTTCTCTGCATGTTTGATGTGGCCACATGTCATATGGGCAATGATCGTACCTAGGTATTTCTAGGTATCGGCTGTACCGGTTTCGAGGAACTCGCTTGCCTACCTAGTGTGGGTAGTCGGATAGTGGGCGACGAGGCCACACCGAGCCCGTTGAAATATACCGGCGTCCCTGCTGAGCCGGCGCCGATAGGATGCCGTTTGCTCACTGGCCCATTTACTGGAAGTTATGCCTGTGCCGCTTCGTTTCTTCAGATGTAACACAAAGACTGAAGTTGCATGACAGGGAAATTCGGTGTGATGGTGAACCAATAATATTTTCTCAGGTCTGATTGTCCTGGAGATCCCCGGGAGAGACCGGCTTGTTCCGCGATACCACATGCAGCTGTCTGTTAGACTACCTAGATACTATCGCACACCTGGGCCTGCCTACCTAGGTAGGTAGAGGAGGTACGCCTCTAGTGACATGCATTCATTCTCCAACGACAATCCTCATATTTTCGCGACTCCTGTCATGCAATACCTAGATAACTTGCGGTTCTTCCCGCGTGATAGGCTATGTCAATCATATTCGCTGTACCGCATATAGTTGATTACTAGCCAAGGTGGTTCACTCTGTTGCAGTACAGAAGTCGACGTTCTACCGGTATGGTTCTTTCATGGTCTAGTAGACCATCCTAGGCTAGACCTGCCCAGGACTTTCTTGTGATGTGTGACATAAGTCTTATCATGCAAGTCAAAGTTGCAGCATGTGGAGTGAAGAGCTTGTTCTACCTAGGTGCTTCATGACAGCGCCATGTCGCTATGACAGTACCTTAGCTTTCGACATTACGATACTGTGGGGTTGGAAGAAAAGGGGAAACCAGTCATGACTTCCTAAGACAACCAACTGAATTCAGTTAAGATGATCTCTGCCAGTGGACGGCTTGAGATCTTGAGGTAAAATCCAGAACCACAGACCTGTTACTGTTTGAGGTTTTTGCTGTGCCACACCAAGTTATCAAGCGATGTGTCGCCCATGTATTATGCATTGTCGATCCCAGTCAAGACGCTGTTGATATGAGGATCTGTGAGGAACACGAAAGGAGGCCGGTGAGGCAAATCAGATGGAAATGAAGTTAGCTACAGACAGGATAGTGTGCCTACCTAGTGCCTTACGGAGACACGCTTGATTATTGGGTTGTCAGTGGGTATCCGCACGCGGAAGCGCCGCAGGTGGGAGGGTTGAGGATACAAGGAGCGAATTTCGAGATCTGAGCGGGAGAGACAAGCAGTGAAGAAACAAGCGTCCCATCCCGTGGCGGATCTCGGCACGATCTCACGGGATGGGTGGATATGAGATGAGTAGGCGATCGACCTTGCTATCTACATGGCTATACAATATCACAGGTAATTCGCTATCGTTTCTAAAGCGGTTGTGAGACGCGATATCTGTGCCTTTGAGGGGGAGCTCTTTATGCACGATATTAGACTGCCTGATATGGCAATGTGGCACCGATGGACAAATCGTGAAGCGCGGGCCAGCAATTCAGGCATAATGGTAGCGCCCCGAGGAGAAGATCCAGTGGAGGCCGACGACAGAAAATGCAAAACGGAACAAGGCTGCATTGAGCTGGATAGCTAGATGAAGCAGCCATGAAGCTAGTAGGAGGAAGGGAGACGTTTGAGGACGGTGGGGGCGAGCAAGTTCCCGTGTCGAGACCGGCCCTGTAAAGCATCCAAGTATCGACCTTTTCGAGGCAAGCTCAGGGGGAAGGCTGCTAATACCTCCCGCAAGTCTTTACATTTATTGTACGTACTACTAGGTAGTAAGTAATACATGTAATCATATCTTGGAGATTCCTTATTCCTCCTATTCATTCCTCCTTGTTCTGTTCCCGCTTGTCCTGAGGTACAATCTACCTAGGTACTCAGCAATGTCGTAGATACCTCGTGTGTGTTGCTCAGTTGGATCTACATACATAAGTATATGTGTACGGTACTTACAAATAGGTATGCAACATGTATGTACATACACGTGTAGCAGGTAGTATGTAGGTAGTATGCAGATGCCCAAAGCCCACAAGCGATTCATCTCACCCCATGCTGTCGAGGCCCGCCGAGGCCGGGCCCATTTGTTTCGTCTCCCACCCACGCGGCGCGGGCGGCGATCGGAAGAAATCGGGGACTTGCAGGATGGATTCCTACAGGGGTCCATGCAACCTAGCAGTACCTAAGTAGGTGGTGTACAAGGGCATTTGTACTTGTCGGTACTCCTACGTGTGATTAGTGTAGTGCGCTAAAATCCGCTGCTAAATTTGGCCCATTACAATATCTGGCGTGATTCTGGAACCCTTCCTTCTTTGGTCTACTTAGCGTTGTAAGTATGTACACTACGTGAAGCTCTTCCCCAGGTCTGCTCAGGTAAACCAAGCGCTTGTAAGGAATCCTACTTACACTACATGCACCTACAGTAGGTTGATTCAAGGGGCAATAAGCATCGTCAACGACAACAACAACAACAACAACAACAACAACAACAGAATGAGTTGGATACGGTAGTCGAGTTGTCGGCTACACCAACATTCTAATGTTGTGTCATAGCACAAGATCACGGGGGCGCTGTCTTCGTGTATAAGGACATAAGTACTACTAGTAGATGCATAATACCCATCCATACCTTCTCTGTACCTTAGGCTACGTACTTAGCTCCGAACATACCTACATACTTAGAAGGTACCTTACCTAGGTTCCTAGGTATACTCCAAATGCACATGGATTTCAGAACGGGAGCTGCAATGTTTTAAACGAGAAAAGACAACCAGAAAATAATCAACCTCGCTACTTACGTTTATCCACTGTTATATATACTATAAGTAGAGTAGTAGAGGAGTAGTAGACTCGTTGCGGAATAAAGACAGTTGGAGTTCAATTATCTAGCGCTTGCTAGCTACAGTACCTACCACCCCGGCCTATCCTTTGATGTCCCCCTTCTGTAGTGGTATCCTCTATCGTGCAGTAGCTCTGTTGCAGCGTCCGTACACTACGTCTCCTCCCCGAGCTCCCCACGGCTGTCTTGCCGGTAATTTTGGGGAACCTCGAAAGAAAACCTCCTAACCGTCATAGCACATACATAGTCCATAAAGAAATGCGATGCTGTTCTGCTATCTCACTTTAAAACCTGGACCTATGTCCAAGGTATCGTGATGGGACATAATTTCCAGTACACTCATAGTGAGAGGCAAATGCACACTAGAAATGAACACGTAAGGCCCTAAGTGGTCAGTCATCATATAAGTAAGTAGCACTATGTAGGCCTGTGGGAGTAGAAGAAGTGGAAGAAGTGGAAGCTGGTTAAAAAAAAAAAAGTAATTTCGTGCAGGGATATGCCATCGTCAGCTGCTCCGAATGAATTTTCTTCTCTCTCCATCTCGTCTCCCCCTTCGCACCCCCTTTCTCTGACAGCTGGGGAAACCAATAGCTAAGACTGCCTACTTTTCCTATCCAGATATCCTTTGACAATTGTCCATGTATATATGTATCACTGAGCAGTGGACATGTCCTGCTATCTACTTATACATGATCCTATATAGGTACACCCATCGGACCGGAACTTGCATCTGTTTGCATGCACCAAACAACTATCTATCTACCTATGTTTTGACTTGAATATATATTCCCATGTACAAGCTGGCGGCCCTTCCGGTATAAGATATAATATCGTCGTCGGGAGTTGGTACGCCCGCTTCCGTGAGTACCTATCGTAGGACCGTATCCACCGACATGTTTGCCTTAAGTACACATACGCATACGAGTTGTTGTACTCATGTGAACTGCCATTCCTACTGCAAGAATAATCGTAATATTTGCTTCCTCGTCTCCCCATCATACAAGGATGCAGGTAGGTAGAACGGACGGTGTGCCATGACCGCTACGCTACCTAGTACTACATACAGTACACTACCGCGCATCCATACAACATGTAATGTAGCGCAGTGTAAGTAGCTACTTCGTAGGTAAGGTAAGGTTGAGTGAGACTGGATGACAGGACAATCCCTCTAGTTCCCGACGCCGGCGGCCGGCCCCAACAAAATTTCTGTCGACCGGTGACTTATTAGTCAAGCGATCCTCACAAAAAAGAGATGACTGTGCCATGTCGCGAGATGACTTTGGGCATCAATTGGAATTTCCACGTAAACGACGCGGATTTTTCGGAGATTGGCATGTTCAGACCTTCTCAAACCTTTGATCAGTTGACGTCTTCTCCAATTCCTGATTCTCGCCCCAACCCCAATTTCTCCATATTGGTAAAGTTGCCTGTTGCCGTTCTGGGACGTTGGCCCTCTTGGACTGTCCCCTGTTACTATTGCCATCTTGGAGACCCGGACCTGGGCAATACGCGACCCTAAGTAAGTAAGCCTGCAAGTACCGATCTTACCTTGGGGGAACAGCAACAACCTTTTGTTTGGCTGGTACCCGTAAGTACCTTTTCGGTGTCATCGTCGTCGCCACCGCCGCCGTCGCCGTCGCCGCGGGCGCGGCCATTGTCGTTGTCGTTGTCGACGTTCGTTGGTATCATCTGAAGTCCCAACACCGAGCTGGCTAGGGATGATACTTGTTCGTTCCATCTCCCATGCCCTATACTGCGCCGAGATTCCCCAGTCCACGTGCTTCGTTTCTCGCAGCTGGGCGGCGTTTGTGTGGAGGGTTTGAAACTGGGACGAAACTACGGGAGTGCCCTTTTCCTCAGCTTAGCACTTACTTACTACGCCCCTGTCGTAGGATCCCAGAAGATGGCGAAACTTTGCAGTCTCACATCTAGGACATCCAAAACAAGGGTCTTCGGTCCGCCACCTCGTACTGCAACCGGGTTGTTATTATTAAGAAGCCCACCTGCACCTGGACCTGCTGCTCATAAGACCGGACGATGCAGCGCAAATCTTACTTTCATCCCCAGCTCCTATTATCCGTCGTCAGGTCACATTGCACACTACCACCACCAGCAGCACCGCCGCCGCAGCAGCACCACCAGCAGCACAAGCCAGCGCCATTCCGAACCTTGTCCATCTTGTTCCGGACTTTTCTCTAGCACCACTCCAGTCCGAAAGTGGCAACCCCCAGTGACGGCCATCTCCATCTCGCACCCATCAGGCCCAGCGGACCCAGCAGACCCAGCAGGGCCATCACCTGCAGCCACCGAGCAGCCTAGTGCCGCTAATCCTAGCCCCAGTCGCCCAACTCCAAGTCCGCACCCAGCAGCTGGTCTCTTTTCTCGGCGCCCACGACGACCAATGGCGTATAATACATACAGCACAGCCGCCTCAGATATATCGACTCCTCGCTCAACCTCTCCTTCGTCTGTGTTTTCCGGACGCTCTTCTCACACTTCTGTCGCTAGCAAACGACTCTCCTTGTCATTACAGCGAAGGCAGTCTGCCTTCAATCCCATGTCCTCAGTTGATATTGCTTCTATCGAACAGCGTATGAAAATGGCCGCTCTCGACGGATTAAGAGGCTACGCCCAAGACCACTATGGTGAGGTCAAACAGGATCACCCAACAGAGTATACGCCAAAGTCAGCCGCTGGCGGCTACCAAGTCCTGCGAGAGCCTCTTTGGAATAAAGGTGTGTGCATCTTGAAGCTCTGTTAAATGTTAGCTTTCTACGAAAATCAGGAGCTTCCTCCCTTCCCACCTCTACGTATATCTTGATAGCCTCCCCGTGCATCCTACTAACGTCATCCATCATCAAGGCCTTTCGTTCACACCTGAGGAGCGTGTATCGAAAAACTTGACGGGTTTGCTTCCGCATGCCATGGAGAACACCGATACCCAGGTCGAGAGGTGTATGAAGATGATCCGTTCGCGGTCGACGCCGATTGACAAATATCTGTACCTGTCTTCGCTCAAGAGCCAGAATCTTGACCTCTTTTACCGAGTTCTCATTGACAATGTCCGTGATCTCATGCCATTGGTCTATACACCTACTATCGGCGACGTCTGCTTGCAATATTCTACGCTCTACACTCGACCAGAAGCTCTGTACATCTCAATTAAACAGCGAAAGTCAATCCGAACGATCCTGCGGAATTGGCCTCATCTCAACCCCGAGATCTGCGTCGTAACAGATGGATCTCGCATTCTGGGTCTAGGTGATCTTGGTGTAAACGGCGTCGGCATTTCCGTGAGTGCTCTTCTTTACTCCGGGGCTCGAATTGGGATAGGTTTATCTTGAATTAAGATACTAACAATAGATAATAGATTGGAAAGCTTGCGCTATACACTGGAGCGGCAGGAATCCACCCCGAGAAGACGCTTCCTATCGTATTAGATGCCGGCACGGCCAATGAGGACAACCTCAGAGACCCTCTCTACCTTGGTCTCCGAGCTAAGCGTCCCTCTCCCGACGTGATGCAGGAGTTCATGGATGAGTTTATGGAGGCTGCAAGTGATGTCTTTCCGGAGATGCTTATACAATTTGAGGATTTTGAAACCGAAAAGGCATTTAACTACCTTTCCCGTTATCGGGATCAGTACAAGTGCTTCAACGACGACATTCAGGGAACTGGTGCCGTCGTGCTCGGCGGGTAAGTCACAGCGGACATCGTTTACCGGAAAATCAATCCGCTAACGTATATATACAGTTATATCGGTGCTGTGAACCCGTCTAACGTACCTCTTGACGACCAGCGCCTGGTTTTCATGGGTGCTGGTTCTGCTGGCGTGGGTGTTGCTAAGCAGATGGTCGAGTATTACACTCGCCGTGGGCTGTCAGAGCAAGCCGCTAAGGACAAGTTCTGGCTTGTCGATACCAAGGGTCTTGTGACCTGGGACAGAGGCGATAAACTGCCAGAGCACAAAAAATATTTCGCACGGTCAGACAACAATGGTCACCAGTTCCGCACCTTGGAAGAGGTGATAGAATATGTAAGGCCATCGGCGCTTGTCGGATTGACGGCTACTTTCGGCGTCTTCACCGAATCAGTTGTTCGTGCTCTCAAAGCATCTGTCGATGCGGGCGGCTCGGGTCGACGGCCCATTCTATTCCCTCTCAGTAACCCGCTCACCAAGGCAGAGTGCACATTCGAGCAAGCTGTTCAATGGACTGAGGGCACTGTCATATTTGCCTCTGGCTCACCATTCTCACCTTTCGCCGTGAAGTCGGGTGATGCTGCAGTCACTTACTGGCCCAACCAAGGTAACAATGTCTACGTGTTCCCTGGTCTCGGTCTTGGTGCCATCTTGGCCAAGGCTTCCAAGATCACAGATGAGATGGTATATATGTCGGCAGCCTCACTTGCGGAATCCCTCAATGCAGAGGAGATTCAGAAGGGTCTGATCTACCCTCGCATAGAACGAGTGCGTGATGCTAGTCTCGTCGTGGCCCGCGAGGTGATGAAGGCGGCCCGGAGAGAAGGTGTCAGCATGCTTCCCGAAGAACAGTGGGTTGAGTGGGAAGAATGGGGTGATGTTGCCTTGACCAAGTACATCAAGGATAGGGTCTATGATCCTCTCAAGTAAGCTATCCAACATGCACTGCGTGTTTGCGTTGCATTTGATCCGGAAGCCAATACCCACGCGTCATGATTCACTATCATCGTCAATTTCGGCGTTCTTCGGTCTGAATATCGTTACATATCATTTTCTTAATATCGCTTTCATTCGATTATAATGATTGACTTTTATACCTAAAGGCCACCCGAGGAAGAAGTTGCCGCTGGCCTTGAATAAAATCAAGAGCGCGCACTTGCAGCAGAGACGTAGCATCTCAGCTGAGACAGAACAGAAAGTAGAAGAGCGGGGAGAGGGAGACGAAGAATAATGGGAGGATGAATGATATAAAGAGTACAAATTAGATTTGAATTAAAGGGAAAACGTCCATAGACGACGGCATTAGACGAGAGGCGCCCTAGGCCCCGGTTATAAAACAAAATGCATTCCTTTACCTTCTCAAATTTTACCTCGACTGCAAATCATTGACAGTGGTTTTATGCGAGTTCAATTGACGATCCCTCATTGACGACAGCTAACCTGTAGTCTGGTCGTAGTCTGGTCTGAATTGTCTCAATCGCAATGCCCGAAGCTCGTCCAAAGGCTCCGCTTCCCCGGATTTCCTAATCTGTCCGACAAGGGTGAGTTCAGCCAATAGAACAGTAGTTCACATTGGCTCACAAGCCAAGAATGGCCGGCCTGTCTTTCGTTGGTTTTGAAGGATTTCCAAGTATACCTAGATATTACGAAGTAGTAGTAGTCTATGGAGGTGTTACTTGTCCTTGTCGAATCAGTGATGCGAGAATTGTGCGTCAACCTCAACATTAGCCGAGCGGCTCAACCTATACCATGCCAACCCCTCTTCCCATCTCCCCTTGCCATTCTACTCTATTTTTTCCTCGAATGATGTAGCATCCCATGTTTTTTTCAAACTGCGCGCTCATGGCTGGCGCTGCAGCATCACCTCTCCCGATCCAAGGAGCGTGAAGCTGAGCTCCGCTCTCGGTTGAATAGGTACCTAGGCGGCAGCACCTGGGTGCTCTCCTCGGGAACTATGGCTTCTATCTTCTGACACAGAATGTTGGTCGTTTCATGTATATCGTACCAAGAGACTTTGGCCTTCGCTAAGTTGTGACAAAGTCTCGTTATCAACATTCGGGAATCCTCCCATCTTGATCAGGACAAGATAGAGAGGCAAGCAAAATCTTCCCGAGACAAGCTGAAACGAGAGCCCTATTACCAAAAAAATTTAACCATCGTATGCAAAGCACCGTTGCGATGAGAGCCCTCGTCCTCCTCGTCGGCATCCTTCCGGCGCTTGCCCGCGCCGCCCTAAACGTGACGGGATCAACGTGTACCGTGACGCCGCTCCCAGCGACCGGGAACACAGAACCGGACGACACGCCGCAGATTCTACAGGCCTTCGAGCAATGCGGAACGAATGGCAAAATTGTGCTGACGGAGGGTCTGTTCCACATCGGTCAGGTGATGGACACGCTGTCCTTCAATAACGTCGACATCGAGATCCACGGCACGCTCCGCTGGTCGTCGAACATCCAGTTAGTCCTCTAGAGTCATTTATTTCCCCCTTTATGCCGGTCTCGGACCACATTGCTCCCTCATACTCCCAAAAAAACGGTGTTGAATTATTACATTGTTTAGTAACTACTGACTCCGGCGTGTAAACAGGTATTGGCTACGCAGCAGCCTTCCTGTTACCTATGCTGCGCGTAGCACTGCCTGGCGCGTGGGTGGCACGGATATTCGTATTCGCGGTTTCGGAAAGGCCCTGTTCGATGGCCAGGGCCGTATGTATTTTCACCAGTTATCTTCCTGTTATAGCAACCTAAGAAGGCAAGACTCGCCTTTGAGGGTATCCTGTATGGGGAGCGTACAGAGCTCCTAAAATCCCCGTCTATGTTACCTTGAAGAGTGATTACTGACTCTAGGGATAACAGAGCTGTGGTATGATCAGAACCGCAGCCAGAGTAATCAGAAAGGGCGCCCGATAAGTTTGACGCTTTGGCATGCAAGAAATGTCCTCCTTGATGGAATCACGTGGCGTCAGAGCCAGTTTTGGCGTGAGTTTCCTCTCCTTCCGCCCCTCTTTCGACATGGCATCTGGGTTTTTGGATGTGTAAGTACATGAACACAGGAGAGTGACATAGGGCACCTGCGTATGGTATAGCTTGTACTTAAAGACTTCTAAAAGGGTGCCCAGTCTTGGCTATGAATGGGCTCGCGAAGATTGCAGAAGAGGGGTAGCGAAACCAGTCATAGAATTTACGGCAGACCACGACACTGCTACTGCTCTCCCCGGTCAGTGAATTGAGCTGACGCTGGTTGCTTCTTCATAGACACTTTCGTTGCCTACAGCGAGAACATTACTATGACGAACCTGGATATGAATGCGACAAGCAACAGCCAATGGAGTACGGTGAACACAGACGGGATAGACACGGTCAGTCACAATGGAACCATTTCAAGCTCTCGTTCCACTATAATTGTGGACGGCGACAAGTAAACTAAATACTCGTGTATATCAGTGGAATTCTAATAACATCTTCCTTCAAAACTGGACTGTGACCTGCGGCGACGTAAGCACCCCTTCGTTTCCTTTACCTGCTCAGCAGAGTGATCACTACAAGAGCAGACACACTCAGCACACTGAATCTTCTCTGAGTAACTAATCCTCCGTCACTAGGACTGCATCAGTATGAAAGGCAACAGCAGCAACGTCCACATCTCCAACGTTCATTGCTACGAGTCCGGGTGTGCCGTGATCGGGTCAATGGGCTCGAACGCAGCGCAGCCTGAGTACGTCTCTAACATCTACTACGACAACTTCACCTGCACGCACAGCTCCAACGCGGCCTGGATCAAGACGTACTCGGGCACTGGGTACGTGCATAACGTAACATTTGCCAATTTCAAGTTCCAGGACGTCAACCAGCCCATCTACGTGACGCCGGTAAGTATGCGGTTTGAGAAGAAAAAGAACCCTCCCCCCCCCCTCCATATATATATAATTTTCAAGAAAAAGATAAGTGAAAGTAACAAATCGCGAGAGAGAAGACCGAGGAATACCCAGTTGACTGACTTCTATTGCTCAAGTGTATCTATGGATCGTCTGGCTGCGACTCCTCGCGGCTGAAGATAAGCGACGTCCGCTGGATCAACATAACAGGCACCAGCCGGTACAACATTGCCAGCGCGATACACTGCTCAAGCGCGTCTCCCGTATGATATACCTAGTTCTTCCGACTATTATCTAGGATTATTCTGTCCTTTTCTTTCTTTCTATTGTCTATATCACTTTTAGCAACCCCGGCAGGAAATCTATAGCTAATCCTGGATCCCCCTCCCTAAACAGAAAAAAAAGAAACACCCCCTTCAGAATAACGCCCGCATAGTCTACGTAATAATAACTGACTGACTAATTCGGATTATACTTTCTCATCACAGTGCGATGGCTTCCGTTTCGAGAACGTCAACATCACGAACAAAGACGGCCGAACGACGGATAAGTATCTCTGCTCGAACATCGCCAACCAGGCGCAGTCCGGTATCCCCTGCACGGGGACTTGTCCGGCTAGTTGGCCTCAGCAGTTGAGTGGAAATAGTTAAACTACCAGCATGGACTGCATCGAATCGAAATCAGTGAGCGTGGTTATTCGCGGCCGGACGAATGATGGCAGGATGGTACCGAGAGAAACAGCGCTGGGATAATGGGTTAAGGAACTTCGTGCTTGGAATTAGCTGCTAGACAAGTGCATAATTCTGTAAATTCCTTTTATGCTGCTTCCCAAGTATAAAAGATTATATCGGAGATGGCAATGAGTAGGTATCCCTAGCTCAATCTGCCCTCATCACCATGGTTTGAATGCAACATAATCTTCCGGTATGATGTACCTATCTACCCGCTTCCGATGCGTATCGCTAGTATAGTTGATAGCACTAGGATTAAACATGTGATGTTAATCTATAAGAATGAATGTCATTATTAGCCATAATCATAAGGTTCGTAATCTCGTTCAAGCCTGTCCTTTCCTAAGTATCCCTTTGTTTGATCCAATTAGGTAGATGGATATGATATGTACATTGTTAGATGTATAGTGTCGTGAGCTGCAGTAAAACGTATTTCCAAACTCATAATCCATGGCAAGAAACGCCTTAGCCGAAACCTTGTCCCGTGGACCCAAACCTTCCAGGTCCACAGGTTCCCGACTACAACCTTATAAGCACCACACTATCGGATTCGCCTAACATCAATTTTTCCGGCCTAGATACCTTGGTCTAAGGTGGCCTTAATATTATCTTTGAAAGAATGACATTAGTGTCTTGGATATTATTCAAACCTCTGCCATTCTCTCAGAATGCGTTCCTGCTCAGTTGGAGTCCAGGGAGTCCTGAGGCTTTGACGTTTGAGAGCTTCAAGACGCGTCTCACACTCCCTCTTCTTATCAGCTCGCTCGTTGACCTTCGCCTTAAGGTACGCCAAATCTTTCCTCATAACGGCCCGATGGAATATACTGCGCATACGATCTGAGTATAGCGTGCAAGTAGCTCTCTCTTTGACTCCAGGCCCATGATGGAAATCCCCGGCAACAGTGAGATCTTCACGACCGTCGAGGAGCGGCTGCACTACCATTAGGAAACATTCGGGGCACACAGACATTGACGGTACAGCCCGCATTGTATGCCACCGTGCGGTGTACAAGATGCGATCTTCGGGACATGGAGGGATTACCGCAAGCTGGCGGATGCGTGTTGCGATCGCTTGGACATTCGGAGCAGACTTGGTTTGGAATGCCCGATCAGCTGCGCCCTCCAGTACGTCAAAGTATAGGAGAAATCGGCCGCGGTCATGCCCGAGGTCGTGATGCATTGCGCAGATACCACGCGTCGGCTCAGCCGGTGAGTCAAGCGGCACAAACAAGCCCGTCAAGCTCGGCAGCAGCGCCTCGACCGTCTTGGCGCACGCGGGGCACACCGTGAACTCCTCGATGAGCCGCTTGGTGGTAGGGTCTTTAATAGAATACCAGATGCGCGATACCTCACGATGCCCTGTGCACGGTTTTACTTGAGCTGCAATCTTGGTCAGACTATGGAACAATCCCAAGTCACGCCTGCCGTACTTGCGCGTGAATAACCATGCAATGCGGTAGTATTCCGACGCACCGAAGTCGCAGGCTAGTGGACGTTCACGCGGCCGGAAAGGCATCAACACAAATTCGTGCGCGAACTCGGTTGACGCGAAGTTCGCGCTATAGCACGACGGGCAGATGTTGAAGTTGTCACATCGTGGTAGCGTTAGCCAGTCCATGTGTCCTGCCTCTTCGCGTGCGCGCGGGCAGTGAGGGATATCTGGGAGCTCGCCAGAATGCATCTCGGTCGAAAACCGTCTGTAAGAACTAAGTGGTGGGTTGATATTGGTATTGCTTTGAGGAGGAGGTTCGAACCTAGGAGGCGGCCATGACGGCTGAGATGGGGTTGGGGCGGATGTAGTTGGAGGTTGCATCCTAGAGTCTGCCCTTGGCGGGGGGTGAGCCGGCGTGTTGCGATGATCAAATGGCAAATTCGAATTTGAAATAGATGCCACAGCCGCATCAACTGGTATTCCATTTCGAGTTTCGTTAAAAGACCCTGTCGACGTGGAAGCGCGAGAGAGCGGTTGCCCGGCGCGATCCTGATCACGAGCAGGTCTCGATTCTCTAGGGAAAGTCGAGCTGCGCGAACTCGAAGAACTCGAGTACGGATCTGAAAGAGATGTCTGCGATAGTCGTGGCGAAGGCAATGGTGATTGTCCCCTAGACTTCCTTCGACCTGAAACCCGTTGTTCAACAGGGGTAGTTAGGTACCCAGCGTTCCCAGGGGGTACAGACGATTTCCTTCGGCGGTGAGGATCGACGCGCACCACAGGCTCATCTTCACTAGAGTAGAATGTATCGTTTTGGTGTGTTGGAGCACGTGCTGACGAGCGCTGCGTGCTAGAGTCGCGGTCAGACTGTGAATTGGTGGAAGACGGTGCCTTGCGGCTCGATCTTGAAGATAGTCGGCCTGCCAACTGACGCGAAGACTCGCAGCTTTCTCTCGAGTCACGCCTCGAGTACTTGGAAAGTTCCGATGTACGGCGTTTCTGGACCGTGGGGCTACGGGCATGGGCTGATTTAGGCTCTCTCTCTTTATATTTGCGATCATTCGCAACATTCTGGTTGCGTTGGTCATTCATGTGAGTTGAGCGATTGCGGGTTTGGGCCTCTGGACTCGACGCTCCTCGGTAATATGAGCGATCCCGCCCGTTGGTTGCGTGTTCAATAATTTCTGGTGTTACCGCCAGCTCGCGAGGAGCTCGGGAAGTTGCGGAGGTGATACGGGGTGAAAAGTAATCCTCGCCACGGTTGTCAACCCTACTAGATTGCTTTGATCGTCGAGTATCATGCAGCGGCGCCTCACTCCCACCATCGGTTATGATGGGAGGAAGATCTCCGGGCCGGCTGGGACGGTATTCCCCTTCAGGCCGTGTCTCCTTTCTGTTGAGTTTCTCGTCGCGGGAGGGGGGTGTTACCTTCTTGCGACAGGTATTTGCTTCGTAAAAGTCTGGTTCTGGATCCGGCTCAGCTGATCGTTCGGTTGATCTGCGATGTTGACCTGTTGTCTTTTCCGGGTCTGATACATCGGACGACCCATCAGATGGATTTGACACGAGCAAAAACCGCCTTTCAGGGTTGTGTTGGTATATCTGGTCTTCCACTGGCAACAATATCGGGTACTGGTCCGGATCCCCGCGATTTGGCGGTTCTTCAGACGGCACACTCGATATAACCGAACCTGCTTCCTTCGCCAGCGCATCATTTTCATCCTCAACACTTGGAGGGGGTGGTTTCTGAGACGCCATATGGTAAGGCATCTTCCTTGGAATCGCCTGGTCGCCTTGGAACGAGTAACTCGATCCACGGGACTTCTCCGATGCGCTGTGATATGAGAAAGAAGAAGGTCAGCCCCACCCGGTGCCCGGCAGATGTTTTGCGCCCGATTTGGAGGCAGTTGACTTTGTAGTACTCACTTCCTTGGATCTGGACTTTTGGCCCTCAAATTCGGCCGGTAGCCTTTTGGCAACAAAGTGTCGACATCGAACTCGGCCATATTGACGCGATTCGCGGATGAGAATGGGAGAAAGCGCTCAGCACATGGCAGCCCGACGCTGAGGGGTAAGTGTTGCAGGAGCGCCGTTCCTTCATACACAGCCTCCTCGCTATCGTCTAGTGATGGCTAAGCCGTCAATGCAATTGCCCAACAGAGGCTAGAGATACAGGGAGAGGAAACAGTAGCGGAACAAACGGGCAGCGAGTGTGGGCTTGCCCGATTCTTCTGAGATGTTTGAATTCAGCAGCCCGGGGATGATGGTTGGTACACAGTAGGTTGATCAGTTGATCGATTGATCGATTGATCGGGTTGGCTAGCTTCGATCTCCCGAGATGGATTCGTCTTTTGATCGCGGGGCCGTCCAGCTTTAACTACCTTCTAGGTACCAGATAGGCCTCGGGAGGGTTAGGTAGGCTAAGTAGCCTGGAGGTATGATGGAACTGCCTCCAGTACCGCCTACCTTAGCTGCCTCAACTGCCTGCCTACCTCAAGTAGGTACTTTGCCTCTTGCTTACAGGCTTACAGTACCGTAGTAAGTATATACCTAGGACTTCTTAGCCTGGTGCTTGGTGCTTGGTGGGGGGCAGTGAGGTGGGGTATGCAGGGACCAGGGCAGCAGGCAGTGCAGGTAAAGTATGGCGGCAGGGCTGGCTGGCATCCGTTGACGCATAGGTAGGTACCTACGTGTAGAAGATTGAAGAGAGGATCTTTTGAGTCAAATCTAAAGATAAAGGGCTGGGTAATAAAGTGGGCAAATAGAGAGGTCTACAAGAAACCGCATCGACACCAGAGCAAGTCTTGCAAGATATTTGCATAGACATATACTCAAGTACAGGTAACGCATCTCCCACTTGACCTGGCCACCCTAATAACCTATATAAAACCCCATTATTTAAATCTTTAATAACTTTACGAATACTAATCGTACGGTTTAATAATTAATACTGTTAAATCCGTTAGTTTGAGAGGAATCCAGAGGTATTTTTTACTATTTTTTAGAAAATTTATTGAGCGAAATATTAAGCAATACGCTAAAGGGGCGCTAAGCAAGGATTAATTTAGCGCTTACTTTAGCGTATTGCTTAATAACTCCGCGAATATAAGTCGTAAAAGTTAGTAAAGGGTACCGTTAAATAGCTCTTTTTATTACGAATCTAATGGTATATTTCATTATTTTATACGATTAATATTTATAGAGTTATTAAATTATCACGTGATTAACGCACCGATATTATTTGTATGGGCTAGGGGGGTGGCCAGGTCAATTGGGTGGCCAGGTCAAGTGGGAGATGCGTTATATATATATATATATATATAATGTAGATGGTTACAAAGGGGCACACGTATAACAAACACTCTCGAGTCACTTGAGTCCATCCACTGATGCTGATGACTGTACGGCCCTGTCGGTTCATGGTTGTTCTTGTCGCCAATCAACAAGACATCTGCATCGATCTGGCGTACATCTGGACTGCTTGAGGGTTACACCTGGATGGATGCACTCGTCTCCCCAAGTATTGTGTGATCGGAGCATGGCGTACACCATGTCAATGATGAACGAGCGTCACCTTCTCCCTCCCAGATCGCCAGAGGGTGGCCAGTCCCTAGTGTCGACACTCGCTATCAATAATGTCTTCTTCCATTGACGAGGCAAAGAGGGACCCCACCTTCCTGTGCGCCGAGGGTGCGGAAGAGCTGCGAGCCGCGAGCTGAGCAACCAACCTACACAGTAAACCAGGGTCCTCCTCTGCGAGCCGCCGCCGCCAGAGTCCGTCGAGATGGACACGCGTGTCATCGCATTACGAGCTTATGTATGTATCACATGTGTCCCGTCTTGGGAGCTCGAAGGGTTAATTTGCCTCCCAGCCTCGCACACTTGGCTTTCTCTCCCAGGATCATCGGTGTTGGCGACGCCCGATATTGCATAGGCGACTTCGCTGCAGATTCCTGCCTGCCTATCTGCCTACCTATCTGCTTACCTACTTAGGCACCCTCTTATCTCGCCCTGGCGGCCTTGCTGGTGCTGGTCTTGGTGTTGGCGTCCCACGGCGCCATTTGTACAGCCTCGGGGCTTCATCCGAATACAAGTCGGGCGAGGTCTACCGTAGACATGTTATGTTTATGTGGTGGTGTGGTCCGAATCTCAAGTTGGAGCTTACGTCCTGTCACAGCGAGTGCAGTGCTCTCTCTGTCTCTCTCTCTCGCTCTCTCTCTTAGTATGGTATGATCAAGCTAGGCAGGTAGCTCCTGGTGTGACTTTGGCGTCCATGATGTGTAGTCTGAAAAGAATAATGCGTTGCGCAGCATGCGTGGCTATCCGTTGCATGCATAAGTACTTATCTCTTGCGTTGACAACTTGTCTTCGTTGACGTTGTGGTGTTGTCGTTGTTGTTGACTGGTACTAAAGGGCAGTGTGGCCCACCTCTCTCTGCCACAGTACTGTGCAAGCACATAGATGCAATGCCAGCAACCCAGGTTCAGAATCTTGCTCTAAAAGAGGAGATCACGCCACAGACAAGAAAAAAGTCTGCAGAAGGCATACTATACATGGGTGCTATATGCAGTTCTCCATCGTACTTTACGCAACCATGCCGACTTAATGTGCAGAAGAGCCGTTCATGTGGATCCAGAACTAGTCCAAAGAAGATACGGGGACAAAACAGAACTCGGATGCATCATGTCATTGCAATGGCAAATTTGATGAGTTGTCCCTCCAAGATCAGAAAGACGAACCCTGACGCCTGCATGTCGGAAGAGGGTGGATAATTCCACGACTGTTTCAGCGGCTGATCGATTTTGATTCTAGAAGCTGCATCTCGCGGGCCGAGTGGTAGGACCACTTCGCACACTAAAGCGGTAACTCTATTCTGGTGACACATTTAGTACCCAAGGTGGCACGGCGTCGTTTTTAATAGATAAGAGCTTCGAGAGCTTCGATTCAATGTCCCCTTGATCGCCATGCATTGCGAATCTTTCGTTGCGGATAAGTGATCTGCCACGGGGCAAAAGCCCACGAGATACAAAGAGTGTAGATTGCCACACAAGTGAACCGCTTCCAGACTCGATTCTGAACTCAAAGATTTTGGACACGCACAAATTGTACTCTTGTTTGCCAAGTTCTTCGTGGCAACTATGAACCAGGTTCACAAAACATGTGTCAGCGTTGCCTCGATGGCAAGTAATGTGTGTAACAGCCCTGTGAGTAGTCAAGAAACTCTGAAATCGACTTCAGGTGTGCCGAGGCACCCTGCAGGATTGGGAGTTATAACTTCTATAGAACACAGCTAACACTAGGATGCCCATGGAGAGTATCACTGGTGCTCGGAGTGGTGCAGATAGTGCGCCTCTGATGATCAACACTCCACTGACGGACGCAAATATAATTGGATTTCCAACCCATGTTCTGTACGTCCTGTACGTAGGATGGGATAGATTTGGCATTTGTTCATCAGCTCTTCGTCTCATGATGATTAGGCCAATAACTGACATCATGTAGCAGAAGAACTTAAGCATCTCTAATATCATATCAGTCCCACCATACACATCGTTGTCCAAGAGGAGGTGAAGGAGAGTATAACCTATCATTGTGAGAAGCCCAGTAAAGCTACCAACCAGTATGAACAATGATGTGAGCATGGCGTTTAACAGCAGTGCGAGCCTGTGGAATATATTAGGACGGAAATGTGGTTCGACCGTGGGCCAGACTCAATGTTGTAGCTCTTTAGTGAAACATACACGGGTACAGAGTGTTCCCACCGTAGCCTACGCGTCAGCCTTACGAAGAGCAAGACAGGAGGTCGGAATGGCCAGGACAGCGCTCGGCGAAAGTAGGCTTCCTCATCTCGTGCGGCACAACAATGCAAGTTCGCCAGTATCGGCGGAAAATAAGCACGCTGTGAAGCTGCTACACAGAGCTTCGCAACGGCAAACAAATTTGCGTTGACAGCGCCCATAGCTGATATAGCCACCACAATGGTGAATATGAGCCCACCCCATGCTCCAATAGTCCGATTTGCAAATTCCTATGGCCTTATCAGTTGGCCTGGATATCTCGGTCCTCGCCGAGCGAGGACAAAAAATAATAACAATAAATACGATGAATGACTGACCACTGCAACTGTTTTGCTGTCTCGGATTACCTCGAAAGGCAAGCAAACGTATAGACTCGCATTCATCAAGAAGAAGCCAGTGATCACTAGTGCCATAGCCCAATGGATTGCCAAGGGTAGATCTTTTCCTGGGTTTTTCATGTCCCCCGCGATGAAACCTGCACTCTCCCAGCCGCCATAGCAGAATAGAGCCGCAAACACGGCTGTAGAAAGGCTCCCAAGCGACCCCCATACATCTGTTACCGGATCCTGTCCGAACCATCCGGTATCCGAGGATGGCACTCCATACCCGTAGCCGAGCACGTAGTTTGTGAACCCGATAGCAACGATGCTGCCGAGGGCAGCAAATTTGAGCACCATAAATACATTAGCGGCCTTTGCTCCTGCGGTCGCACCCAGACAGTTAATGGCCGTTAGTAAAGCTACACAGCCGAGCGCCGCGATCTTGGTAGCCCACGGCCAAATCGGATCAGACGGTTGTAGAGCCTTGAGAAAAAAATCGGCGAAGATAGTAGCGATCACTGCATTACCGCCTGGTCTTACTATGCCGACCCATATCCAAGAAAACAAATATCCTGAATATTCACCCCAGCTGGCTCGTAAGTAATCCTGAATTCCCCCATTGGAGGGCACAAGCAGTCCCAGCTCAACGAACGATGCCGCTCCAGTCCAGACGAGCAAGCCTGCCACGACAAAAATACCTAGAGCCTCTCCAGGGGAACGGACTTGCTGAGCAACTAAACTAGGTGCTGAAAAGATCCCGGACCCAATTTGCAGACTGACAATCAGTGCTAGACAGTCTATTTGGGTCAAAGTCGCCCCCTTGCGTGGAAGTCGAAGCTCGTCGCTATTCTCCGATCTGGGAATAAGTGGTGCATGAGCCGATGGCTGTTCATCAGTCTCACGACGCTGTGGACCATAAGACGGTGTATTAGTTCCTGACATGCCAGCAGAGTGGTCCGTTACACAGCCAATCGTTTGTGAAGCCACTATGTCAGCGATCTGAGCGAGCAAGGAGCTGTGGAATAGCCAATGTGGTACCGCCAGTTCACCCGCAGGGACTAGGGACATATGGGACCTAAACGATGCGTGTACTAGGAGAGCAGTTGAGATGTTCTCTCGGTTCTTTGAAGATTCCCATTTACTTGTTGCAATCCTAGCTAGACCCATAGTCGTGCATGGTTTCATTGGGAAACAGGGATAGAGCATGCTTACTAATATCTATCTAAGTATGTCGTTATCCAACTAATGTAGCATGGTTTTAAAATCAGAAAAGGGCTTGGCGACACTGCAGTAGGTATGTTTGATCTGATGTTGCTATCATGGCATAGCCAGCTATGTATGTACTAAAACTTACATATCGTATGCCAGGTCAGTTACGGGTGACAAGCAAGCAGGACACCAGTGCATATAGGATGGCTCAAAAGGCACGTGAGTTTTCTTTCCTATGACTTGCCCTGTCGGCATTTCCCAATTTCAACGGGGGTTTGACATGCGTGGACAGCAGGGAAGTACTTTCTAGCCCAGCAGTTGACTAAAGGACTGTGACCACAGGATGCTAGTGAAGACTGGTCAGTAGCAGCTAGAATATCCCGTTGTTGGTGTGAATTAAGAGCGTTGATTAGATACGGTTGCGTATGCATCTTTTTCTGTGCTAGGGAAATCTTAGTCGACAAGGAATTCTTCTATATCCTTATCCTCCTGTTCGTCGAGCGTCTCTTGCAGCCGCTTCTCCTCAGCGTCTAGAAGCTGTTTGATCATGTTCCGTTGCCGTTTCCGCGCTTTTTTGCCCCAATCTGCCGCCGTTGCCTCCCCTTGTGCGTCGTCATCATCATCATCGTCACTTTCGTCGGGAATACCAAGCTCGCCGCGGAGCTGATTGGGGGAAATTTCGGCCACTTCTTGTTGGGCTTTCTCAAATTGCTTCTCTTGATGTTTCGCACCCAGCTTAATGATATATGGGCGTAAAAGCGCATAGGCGCCAACAATGGCGATTAAACGAATCCATTGCTGTGCTGTCATGTTGGTGATGGACCCGCCGACATTGGTGGCCATGCGGTCCGAGATCAAAGAGACTAAATTCCATACAGTCTCGCCTAGGTGGACGAATAGCCCCGCAAGTTCCTCCGCCATGGCTGTAGCAATCGTATTGTCTTTTAGAGCCGAATATGTAACAGGAAGAGAACAGCGCGTAGTTCGTTGCGTGGTGGTACGCGTAGAATGTATGAACTTGCTGCGAGTCGGTTATCGCAGGCTCGGAAAGTTTGAGTACAGAACAAATGAGGTGATTAGAAAATTGTATCCGAGAAGGGAAGAATTAAATATGCTAACATATATTATAGACACAAGAAATGGCTGAAGACGTTGGTGAAATCTTGGGGATTTAGATTTTGCGAACGAGGGATAAAACAAAACTGCTCGGCATCTTTGGATCAGCTCCTGTGGGTCCGTTTAGTAGGTACCTCATCTCCCTACGTAGGTACCTTATGTAGGTAGATAAGTTACCCACTATACTTGTAGAGCCAAGTACTTCTACCCCTTAGATACCAACGTATTTACAGAAAGGGAACCTGCGGAGAAGTAAAGTTCTTATCGCCATCAATCGCAGCATGTACATGTGTACACCGCAAGCTTCAAAGTTCGATGCCCACTTGTTAAAGGGTTACAGTAGTTACTCGACGCGGTCATCATGAGCCAATAGATTAAGCAGGTAGCAGCATCTGACAAAGGCACCATTCGCCAACTGCGCTCGCATTGATGCTTCAAGGCTTTGTTCTGCACGATACATGAACACCCCCCCCCCCCCCCCCCCCCAAGATAATGGCAGACAAATCCGATGAGGACGTCCAGGAAGTAAGTAAACCGGCGAACACGCGGTCTACTGTCAACAAGTGAGAGCCTTAGCACTGACGACGCGTCCCATGTCTTCAGAGACTAAAGGCTGCGTTGTGGTTCGCAGTTGGCAAAATGGTGGACGAGGAGACGCTGCGTAGAAACCGCAACGTGACTCCCCAGTTCATCGGAGCTTTGACAGAAATGGTTTGGACCCAAATCGGTGTGTTGTCTCGATATCCTACGTACTACCAACTTGATGACTAATATAGAGCTAGAAAATGTAGCTCTGGACCTGGAGAGCTTTAGTCGACACGCAGGGCGCTCAACCGTCACCACCGACGATGTCCTGCTGCTCGCTAGGAGGAACGGGGATCTACACAACATTATCAAGGATTTTGTAGACAAAGAAAAGGCTGCAAAGGCAAAAGGGAAATCTAAATGATGAGGGCGCACTGTCACTTGCCAACATCATAATCCTGCGCCAGGGAACGGTAAGAAGCGAATGCTATTGAACTTGAGGCAATCAACAGCGATGAAAAATACACCTACACCGGCATCGGCACGTGCTTAGGACATTTTGATCTCGGAAATGCCGCCTTGGTGTCAATAGACCACGAGAGACACGCGCAGGCTATCCTCGATCTTAGTTGCAAGCTTTAGAAGAGAATCGATTCCCAAACGAATATCTCAACTTAGCACTACGCAGAGCGCTAGAAGTCACCCTGCGCAATCATTAGGCATCCACCATACTCTACATTAAAGAGCATTACAAGAATTCTGTGCCAATGAACTCACTCCTCTACATAGTGTATGTGACGTCGCAATAACGCCATTCTCTTCTGTGTTCACCAGTATCTGGACCACGACCAACTACTTAAACTACTCCGTAAGCCATTCAATGTGAGACCTAGAGCAGTGGATTGAGATAATATCGTTGCTGTACATAGTACATCCTTAGATAGGTAAAATAGTTCACCCAGCGCTCTACCCAGAGCAAAGATCAGGGTCCCAGAGTGGGTCCAACAAGAAATGTCCGGTTTACCCATTGAGAGGCATGGCTCACCAAGACCCTATAACTTTGAAAGCCTGGGAAACAGCCAACTAGATTAATATACCTATAAGAATTAAATCAGTAATGGTGATTACGATATTAAAATGCTTCGTGTTAACTATATATTTTTTCCATTTTATTTAAGTATTCTAAAGCTGTTTAAACTTATAAAGTCTTGGTGAGCCATACCTTTCAATGGGTAAACCGGACATTTCTTGTTGGACCCACTCTGAGGGTCCTATACACCAGCTTGGTGGCTAGGACACCTAGAGTGACGTATGCATGTGGCTTTGACCAAGGCTCGGCGAATAGGCTACGCCGCTGACTCGTTAGTCTCGGCACTTGATGTCATGGGCACCTGCCGGTTGCCGGCTGCCGGTTGCAGGCGCAGGAGCAAAGCCACCATTTGCGTCTGACACCGGAAGCTAGAGGAAGATTGACGTTCTCGATATCTCTTTATCCGCGAAAAGTAGGTCGGCGGGAGGGTGGCTTTCATCATTCGTCATCGAGGCAACCCATCGTTGTGACGGTGGCAGAACCGCATAAGGAGGCTTAAGGAGAGAATAGGTACCGATTCTACTACCACTTACTTAGTACATCGCTGTACGTAGTAAGTAGCTATTACCGTTTATGCGATCCTGGAATTGCACCACTACCGTACATGTGATCTGTGATCGACCGACTGTCTCGGACATCTATTGGGTCATCATTACTTACTATAGGTAACTTTAATACCTGCACCGCTTCCCCACGTATTTCCACCAGTCCACTATCCCTCGCACACTCCTGTACACCTTTATATATCTTGTCGTTACGTTTTCCAAACTACTTCTTTGTACCACCTCTCTTCATCTCCAATTCTCTCGCGACGCTACAATCAAGACGTCAAGATCACTGTGTGTGTCTCAAACGAGGACAATTACGTCGTGCGGTCATCTTCCTCAACATGGGAGCTAAATCAGGACTGGCCTTAAAGGCCTTACAGTGGTTTGTGCGCGGTATACAGTTTGGGAGCTGTGCAGTTGCCTTAGCTCTCTTCTCATATTTCCTTGCCGTTGCCGCGCAACATAATTACAGAATCCCTACGTGGTCGAAGGCGGTTGAGGGCATAGCAGGTGTAGGTGTTTTATACACATTACTTGGCCTGTTATTGCTCTGTTGTGTTGCTGGCCATCCGTTCGCATCGGCCATTGCAATTATTCTTGATATCGCCTTCATAGGGGCTTTCATATACGTCGCGCAGGCGAATCGAGGCGGCGCTAGCTCATGTCGAGGCACTGTTAGTACAGTCTTCGGCAGACGTCCAGCATCGGATCATCTAGGATCTGGATTGCCCAGCTATCATACCATTTGCCAAATGCACAGCGCTGTTCTAGCGGTTTCAATTATTGCCATGTGAGTACTATCTTCTCTGTTGCCAATCCCAAGAATTGAGACTCATTTGATATATAGTGTCTTCTTCCTCATATCTGCCTTTCTCGAGGTTGTTCTCGTTCGTCACCGACGCAAGGAGTCTCGCTTCGGCCCTAGTCCTGCCAACAACTATACTTCTGGCTACGGTGGGCGAGGTGGATTCTTCAGTCGTTTCCGCCGCCGCAAAGGCAGCTCTGAAGAGGAAGCTATCAATCCTAACCAACTCCCTGAACGTATGTATCCACGGAATCTTTACGCAGTCAGTGCTAAGGGGGGATCTTAAGCATCAAATCGCTTAAGCGTGACTTGGTTCCCACCCTTAAAGCCACTACGTTTGCTACGATGAACACCGCTAACCTATGCGTTTAATAGACACTCACCCCGATCAAGTCCGTCCGAGTTATAATACCGAGAGTACAGCTGGTGGCGCGCATTACAACAAATACGGCGAGTCCGGCTTCCAACATGATGGGCAGACGGCATATCCCAACCGAACTTCCTATCCAGCTGGCGGTCAACAATATGGTGACGGCACTTACGGCCGCTAAAGCATCGACAAGCTCCCAAGTTAAGTGCGCCACAACGAATGATTCATTTAGGACTATGAAATGGTTGGAACAATTGATACCTTGGGCGGGTATGGATATTTGATGTGCTATGTGTGGCTAATCATGATGTAAATGAAACAAAAGGGGTCTCGAAATTTGTATGAATAGGATGAGCGTTATTGGTTAAATTAATGTTATTAATAATGTCCATGATAGGTCGTCTTTAATGGCTGTAATAATTTCCCTAATGCTGCATTTTGTTCTTGGTGGTGGGAAGTATTGGTCCTAGGCGCAGTCCAATGTGGTTTTACTTTGTATTCTAGCTATGTTTCTCGTCAGGCATATGTAGTGTGATTGGGGCTGGCACTAGTATGTTTGAGAGCTGTATAAACCATCGGACCTACTTCGCTGATAGTGGTTGGAAGTTGCTGACACTGTATATTCCAATTTGATACTTTGCACTATACACTCAATGTGCCCTTTGTGCTTGGCACCTCTCCTTCCTTACCAGGAATACGTGTTGTCGCGTTGCGGACGGCAACGGCGAAGGCCTTGAAGGCACTCTCGGCCCGGTGGTGATCGTTTTCACCACGGAGACAGTCCACGTGCAACGTGATTCGCGCAGCCTGCGCGAAACTCTGAAAGCAATGTGGCAGCATCTCTGTACTGAGGTCCCCAATCTTCTCGCGCTTAAGACCGAGGTCCGTCACGCAGAAGGGTCGGTTCGACAGGTCGACTACTGCGCGCGAAAGAGCCTCGTCCAGGGGCGCATAGGCGTACCCAAAGCGTGCGAGGCCTGTGGCTGAGCCCAGCGCCGTTGCGAATGCATATCCCAGTGCTAGACAAACGTCTTCGGCTGTGTGATGGTCGTCAACTGCGGAGTTGATTAGTAGTTGCATGCTTGTCCTAAATCAACTATGAGAGTTCGCTTCTATTCACTCCATGCGCTCTTCTGGCTCCAAGGCCCGCCCCCATGGCAGATTACTGTGCAGCGAGGTACATGGAGAGCTGGTCGTCTAAAGTGAAAATGACAAAGTGAACATACTATGTAAGTCGCCCTTGCACGCCAGCACCAAGCTCCAGCCGGCGTGCTTTGCTAGAGCGTGCAACATGTGGTCTAGGAAGCCGATACCTGTGTTGATACTGATGGTTTGCGACTTGCTGGCCTGGCTAGCATGGCCCTCCTCTGTTGCAGCCTTCAGCCGAGCGTCGGTATCAGGTGGGAATCCACCTCCATCCAGGTTCAGTGATAGCTGTATTTTGGTCTCGTTGGTGTCTCGAGCAAGAGCGGCCCAGCGAGGTTTCACAGTGGACCCCATCGTCGACACAAATGGGGGGGATATAAAATCAATGTCGAGGGTAAAGATCTCTGAGATAGTGACGAGAGGCAATAACGTCTTGTGGACAAATAAATTGTCAGTTTCTTAGCAGTAACTTACCACTTCCACTTATTTTTTTACATTGAGACATTCCGAGCATCGGTCTTGAGAGCCAGGCTAGAAGCTTAAGGCTTACAACCGACCAACCAGCCGAAGTCCATTACCATCATTCCTTGCAGATAAGTACCTAGATACCATTCGTTGCCACCTTGAGCTGTGCTAGCAGCCTAGCACCGGCCCTAGATCTTGTACCGCATACACTCGAAAAACTCGAACAACACTAGTAACGCCACTGCAGGGATGCTCTCGCTAGATTATCCATATTAGGCAAGCAACTTTGTTAATGAACGCTACTAAAAGTTGCTCCTATTAGATGTTAGTTAGGCTTTATACCCTTTTATAAGTTATAGAAAAGCTAATAAATGGTAGAATTGTAAAAATAACGCTGTTTTTGCTATTTTTGCTATTTCCGCTATTTTCTTTATTTTCTTTATTTTTGCTATATTATAGCCAATTCTTTAATAGCGTTAAGAAAATGCTATTTTTGCTATATTATAGCTAGTTCTTTAATAACATTAAAAAAAATATTAAAAATATTATTTTTAATTACTTTTATAATAATTAATCTTTAATTAACTTATTTAGCTTTTAATTGAATTAATATAACCTTATTAATCCCTTTATTTAAATAGTTTAACTTTAAATAAAAAAGCTTAATATAGGTTAATTATTACCTATTAAAACTATTAATATAACGCATCTCCCACTTAACCTGGCCACCCAATTAAGCTGGCCACCCCCTTAACCCATACAAAATCCTATTATTTTAATCTATAATAACTTTACGAGTACTGATCGTACGATTTAATAATTAGTACCGTTAAATCCGTTAGTTAAAGGGGAATCTAGAGATATTTTTTACTATTTTTTATAAAATGTATTAACCGAGATATTAAACAATACGCTAAAGGGGCGCTAAGCAAGGATTAATTTAGCGCTTACTTTAGCGTATTGCTTAATAACTCCGCGAATATAAGGCGTAAAAGTTAGTAAAGGGTACCGTTAAATAGCTCTCTTTATTACGAATCTAATGGTATATTTTATTACTTTATACGATTAGTATTTATAGAGTTATTAAATTATCACGTGATTAGCGCACCGACGTTATTTGTATGGGCTAGGGGGGTGGCCAGGTCAATTGGGTGGCCAGGTTAAGTGGGAGATGCGTTAGTTTTAAAGGTATTACTTTTAATAAAGGAAGGTTAATATATTACTATTTTTAAAAAACTATTAAATTTTATTAAAAATTAATAAAGTTAATAAATAAAAATAGCATTATTATAGTTTTTTAAATAATAATAAGGTTAAAAAAAGCTTTTAAAAATTTATGTTTAAAAAAATAATTTATTACTTTAAGCTAAATAATAAATTATTTATTTTAAAGTAGTAAAAGTAATAAAAGTTAATTTTAAATAAGAAAAAATAACATTTTTAACTTTATTAATTAATATTAAAATTAAAGTTATAAAAAGTATTTTATATAATTAAAAAAGTAAAAAAGTTAATTAATATTTATTAATTTAAATAAAAGGCTATTATAATTTTTAATAATTATTATTTAATTTATTTAATAGTTTTTACCTTTTTAAATAAATAGTTTTATAATTTCCTTTAATATTATTAAATTAATTATTAATAAATAACTTATATTTAAATTTAAATATTTATAAAAATAATTAAATATATAAATAACTTTTTATAATTTATTAAAAGAGTTTTATAAAATAATTAAACTTAAAAAAATATAATATTAATAAATAATTTTATTAAAGAACTTTCTTTTAATAAATTTCCTTATTATTAAATTATTAACCTAAATAAAACTTTAATATTATTTAAATTTTTAATAAGTTATATATATAATTATAAAGGTAATATATTTATTAATAAAAAGTTAAATAGAAATAATTAAAAAAAACGGTAAATAATATTAATATTAATAATTATTATAAATAAAAAATATATTAAAAAGTTAAAATTAATTATTATTTTTTATAATAAAAGCTTTAAAATAAATAAAGAAAAGCTATTATATTATAAAAGTATTAATATATTATTTAATAAAAAGGTATATAATAATAATAATTTATTTAAAAATTAAATTAATAATAATTTAACTATTTATAGTAAAGGGAAGTTTAATTTATTAATTATTAATATAATTACCTTTTATAAAATAAATAAAGTTAAAGTAGCTCTTTATAAAGCTAATATTATTATTATAATAATTCTATTAGGTTTTATAACTTACCTATAGCTTTTAAATATTAATTTTAATAATTCCTTTAAAATTTAACTTTAAAAAAAATAAATCTATATATAAATAAATTAAAAAAAGAAAGGAAGTTATTTAAAAAGTAAATAATTAATAAAAAATAAATAATAATTATTTATATTATTATAAATATATAAAAATAAACTTTTATTTTATTTAATTATAAAATAATAATAGCACTTTTTATAAATATTAATATTTTAATTTATTTAAATAGTTATAATAATTTTAAAATTAATATTAAAGGTATTAATTTTAATTAATTAATTTTTAATAATTATTATTAATATTTAAATTAAAAAGTTAAAATAAAGTTTAAAAAGATTAATAAAACGGTTAATAATTTAAATTATAAATATATAAATATTAAAAAAAAAGAAATAGCTTAAATAAAAAATAACTATAAATAACTTAAAGTAATAAAATTAAAAGAAAAATACTATTTTTAAAGCTTATTTAATAATAAAATAAAGGTAAAGCTAATTAAATAATTAAAAGATATAAGTTATATATAAAATATATTAAAATAATATCTTTAAAAATAAACTTTACTTTTACCTTATTATATAAATATAAAAAAAATTAAAGTTAATTTTATAAAAATAAATATAAAAATATTATTTTTAATAGCTATAACGTATCTCCCACTTAACCTGGCCACTATCACGATTAGGGTTTTAGGGCATAGCTGTATTAATGCTATAAACAAAGATTTTAAGCTAAGGAAAAAAGGAAGGAAAGATAAAACTAAAATATAAGTATATATAAAGATATATATATATTAATAGCTATTATAAGTTATATAACCTTATTAATATATATTTTATATATTTTTATAATATTCCTTTATAATATATATAATATTCCGGTATAATATATATTTAATACGTTTATTATATTTCCCATTATTAAAATTAAAATATAGGTGTAAAATAGGTTAAGGAATTATTTATAGTATTTAGTTTTAATTATAATGCTATTTTATATAATAACATTATTATTAAGGTAATTAATAATAAATTCGTTAATTATTATAGCTTTTATTTATTTATTTAGCTATTTAAACGGTTTTAATATATTAAGCTATTTTTTATAGAACTTTTATATTTTAACTAATAAGTTTTTAAAATTCTTTATTAGGTATTAAATATTATTAAAGTTATAACCTTTTTAAGTAATTTAATATTGTAGCATTTTATTATGCTTTATTATTTATAATTTAAATAGCTGTTTAACTTTTTATTCCGGTCCTCTTTTAATATCTTTAAATTTTAATAACGGTTAAGTTTATTAAAGCAATAGGTTTTTATTTACTTTATATAATTAATTTATATAAAAAGGTTAGTTATTTTTATTAACTTTAGGAAGTTTAATATATAGCTATATTCTTTCTTTTTAAATATTTTAAAGGGTTTAATCTATTAGGAGTTTAATTAAATAATTAAGCTATTAGTTATAAAGCCTTTCTTTTTTAAAAAAACTTTATTTTTTATATAAAAGTCCGTTAAGTATTACTTCCTATTTACCTATACTTTTTATTTCTTTTATATAGCTTTTATTACTTTATAAGCTGCCTTTTATACTTTATAGGTTTATTATATTAATTATTAGGCTAGCCTTTTAGGTGCTATCTTTTTAATAGTATTTAATAAGGGTAATAATAGGGGGTTCCTTATATTAATTCTTATTAGGACCTTTAATAATATTATATTAATAATTAAATGCTAAAAGGTATTATATATAAAATTTAATATAAATAAATAAAAGCTTTAATCATTTTAATATTTATTAATATAAAAGTATAATTATTAATCTAGCTTTTAATTTATAAACTTTATAGCTCTTTATATTTAAGGGTAAAGGATGCTCCTATATTAATATTTAATATAGGTTAATTTATTAATCTTTATTAAAAAGTATAAAATAAAGAGTCCTATATTATTTAAAATTTATACCTTTTAAAAACCTAAAAAATGTTAGGTATATTTATAGTATTAATATATTATATCTTTTATTATATTGTTTTTTTTATTAGGTATTATAATTAATAAGCGGTTAAATTTATTAATAAATGCTTATATATAATTATAGCTATATTTATTTAAAGGTATATCCTTTCTATTAATTATAATATAGTATTAAATAGCTATAGGGATTAATAATAGGTATAATAATCCAGGTACTTTATTTTAGGGAATCTTATTTTATTAATAATTATAATAATTATAAATATATATTTAAATATTTTATTTTAATAAAAGCTAATAATAATCCTATTTAATTATTTTAATGCATTTATTTTACTTAAAATAAGTAGCAATTATTAAATAGTAAGCTTCTTTAATTAAAGTTATTTAAAGATAAACCTTTAAATTAAAGGTTTACTTTAAAACAATTAATTAATAATCTTTATATCCTAAACCTTATTTTTCGTTTTTTTGTTAAATTAAATCTATTAAGTTAAAGCTATATAATATTATTGCTTTCTTTTTTATAATAATTATTAACCCTTTTAAAGCTTTAAATAGGATTAAAGCTATATTATATTTTTTAGCCTTATAGGCTTTAATAGTTAATAAATTAATTATTTTATAAAATAATATATTTATTATTATATTCTTTTAATTAGGTTAATATTAAAAGGTAATATTAAAATTAAATAAAAAGTTTACCTATTTTATTTATTTTATAAAAAGGACTTTTTTAATAGTAAAATATAATAGGGCTTAATAGTTAATTATTATAAAGAACTTTATACTTAATAGCTTTAAGTAATTATACTTTATAGTTTAAATTATAGTTAATAATTCTTTATTTTATATAGGATAAGCTTATTTAATTAATAATATAGTTTTCGAAAAGTATTT